ATTTAAGCTCAAAATGATCTGTAAACCTCCAATATTGTACTCATTTGAGCCCTATCTATCTGCACCTCTCTACATGTCCTCATCGGGCCTACTTCCGGCCTTCCTCCGCAGTATTGCCGGAGTTTACGAGGATAACGGAGGTACCTGAATGAAGGAGGTAGAATCTAGCCTTATCATGTGATGCTGTGCTTTGCCTCGCCTTGATCGATATATAAGTTCTGCGCCCATGATTCTTGTTTACAAGAATTTCCTTTCCGTAACATCCCATTTGCATCCATCAACTGATGGACTGCCTGTACCATACCACTACTTTGTCTTTACAAGAACACATTAGCATTATCTTAATCGATTGCTTCGTTCTTTACGCTTGATAAGCTCTTTGCGCTCAGTTCTCTTGCGTCAAATCTCAACCATCTCTGCAGTTATCCACCGTCAACGTCGCCATCCTTTCCTACATTTCACACGACTCTGTAACAATATTCTGACAAGAACTCGATCCAATATGCTGTCTGATTCTAAAATCCGCGAATTGAAAGTTTCAGGGCTCGTCTACAACGGGATGGTAAAGCCGTACAATCGCGATGGAAACATAAGAAAGAGTCATGCTCTCTGCATCGATGGTGTAAGTTTCTTATCCCTAACTTTCTTCAACATACTTTTCTTCTGGGGGTTTACTCTATATCCCCATATAACTTCTCTATTTAGAATCATATTGCTCTAGCCGCCTACTCTGCTTGCTAGACGCAATCGAGAGTCTTTCTTCCTGCTTCAACGATGTATACTAACTTGGGTTTACAGCTTACAACGCCACACAAGCCTCTCTTGATGTTAAGTCAAAAGTACATCGCGTTTCACATACCTAGCCGCAAAGAACTCTACGACCGACCAAGCAGACTTCAACAAATGGAAGCTTATACCAGATTTCTGAAAGATAACCACGGAAAGCCGCTTAGCACTTACCATAGAGCCACCATCCACATAAATTTGGCTCGTTGCTTCGAGGATTGTCCCGACGAGAAAAGTGGCAGCCAGGATGACATTCTCACTGTCATCAAATACCACTTCGAAGTTGCACATGGCTGGGCAACGGCAGTAATCGATCAACGAGAACTCGATGTCACAAGTGAGGAGTGTGTGCCATTCAATGATATCATCAGTGCGGCCAACGACATCAAGGATTCCTTGTATGCTCGGAAGCTTTACATGGATGCCCTCGATGAAGATAACATGGTAGTAGACGTTACTCCTGGATTGAAAAACTCAACGTTGCCTCTCGAAGTTGTTGATGACATTGTCTCGGAACACAGCCGGAATTCTGAGGCACCAGACTCACAGCCTTCTGAACAATTTGCAGATATTGGTGCACAAGATGACATAGGTGGAAGTGATACATCGACAGTTCGAGGCATTGATGACACAGTCAACAACTCTGACAGTGACTTTGATGAGTTTGGATACAAAGATATCATTGCAAAGGCAAAGCAAAACTCAACCATTGAAGTGGAACCTGCTCCAATCAATGTTACGGATGTCAGAATGATACATGGTTTTTTGTACTTCTTGGTACATGATAAGATTGGCATTTGCAACTTGATGGACGGTTATCTTGACAGAATGGACGCTGCCCTCGAGCTTGGAGAGCTTGAAATCAAGATCATCAGAGATGGTGAGTTAAATACTTCTACAATGCATTGTTAAAATAGATACTAATACACAGCTTCAGCGATGATGGCATTGAATGTTCGACATAACGGCAATGGTTTCGCAGTTTCACCAAGCTCATCACCAAACACATCCTCGGCACCATTCTTTCTCGTTGCTTCTACCTTACCTATACGCACACGCTCGAACAATACCGAATACGAGTCTCGAAAGAAGAGGAAATTTGCTAAAGACGATGAAGAAGATGAAATACTTTGATGGCTGGTTTGGTTTGTATCGCGGCCAAAATCTCCTCTCTGATTGATAGCTAGGCTCGTTTTATGCATGGGATACAGGATATGAGTGGCGGGGACATGTAGGCAGGAAAGCCCCTAATAGCAGATAAATGTAGGAATAATACAGCCACTAGAAAATCATTTCAAAAACTTCCTGCATTTTATGACCTCAAGTTATAACTATATGTGCTGGCTCAAGATCACCAAGTTTTTACTCATGCACTCCTGTCCAGGCTGCAACTTGTATTGAACGAAATGGTCTCTGTTGACAAGAATGTAATCCACAATGGCTTTGTATCAGTAGCATAATAGCATTGTATGAATGAATGTATTCTGAGCTTTCACCGACTAGCATTGGTGAGTGCCAACAAGCTTGAATATATATACTACCTAGGCATGTGCCCAGAATTCGAAAATTACAATTGGGAACAGACAAATCTAGACTTCAAACATATATGTTCATATGATTCATTTTACACAAGGTCCGCAGCTTTGAGACAATCTTGTTGCCAGGTATTACGATGTAGAGAACTTCACACAGCATAAATCTGGTGGAGTTCAAGAAGTGAAAGGTTAAAGCAAGTCGAAGAAAGGTCGAGCAATGTTCGGGCCGACAGTTAATCCATAAGGCTAAGTAATGTTAAGTCTAGATCCCGTGCATTATGATCAAGTACAATGTCTATCTAAATGACTAATAATGTATACAGCTTTATCTATCTACTCATTGGTCAAGTATGTTGTTTATGTCTGTTTCCTTACCTTTTGGATATCTGTTGAACAATATTGTACTGTGTGTGGAAAGAATGTAAAATTATCATATTCACTCATTTGTTCACACAATAGCATATTCAATCACAAACAATCATCTTGTTTGTTTTACCCATGAGAGATTTAAGATTTGAGCCGTAGTAAAATGACACTAACCCACTAAATCGCTTAGCCACACTGGTTTGTTTTGATTTCGGGTCTCACCCACCTCTATTTAGGATTTTTGCCTGACAACTCAGATTTTTGACCCCTCCATTCTCCCACTTCTACTACCCACCCCAAAGTACCTTCCAACCATAACGCTTCTCAAGTAAAGCTGCATTAAAAAAATTACCTGCAGGTTTTATTCTACATATTCTTCAAGATATCCATATAAGTCTATTCATCATGGCTGAACCAGCACACCAAGAGATCAACACCAGCAATGAGCCCAAACTCGTTGAGTCTGAGACTAAGCTCGCCACCGAGCCAGCAGCTTTAAAGGAAGAGTCAGCCAAGGAAGAGTCAGCCAAGGAAGCTCCAGTTGAGGGTTCCGTATGTTGATTATTCCCGTTCTTATATTGCTATCTGGCGATTTTGTCGATTTCATTACACTTTGCTAATCATAATTATGTTAAGACCTTGACCGAACAGGCTACTGCTGCCGCATCCACTGCCGCCGCGACTGTCACTTCTGCCGCTACTGGTATCACTGATAATGTTTTCTCGATGTTCGGCGGTGGAGCCAAGAAGGAGAAGAAAGAGGATGAGGACCGAGGAGATAACTCAGGATCTGCCAAGGCACAAAAGGCCGCTGCTGCTGAGGAAAACCCAGAGGTATTGTTGGACAACATGCACACACACACACACACAAAAACACAACTGATCATATTGTAGGATGAGGCCCCAGAATCCGAGGACGTCCACTTCGAGCCAGTTATTCGTTTGACCGAGAAAGTCGATGTTAAGACCAACGAGGAACTCGAGGAACAAACCTTCAAGATGCGCGCCAAGCTCTTCAAGTTCGTCAAGGATACTCAAGAGTGGAAGGAGCGTGGTACTGGTGATGTCCGATTCTTGAAGCACAAGGAGAACGGAAAGACCAGATTGGTCATGAGACGAGACAAGACTTTGAAGGTCTGCGCCAACCACTATGGTATGTTTACAGCATTGAGCAGTATTAGGTTGAACTCGAGCTAACGGTCAAAAGTCGTTCCTGACATGAAGTTGTCTCCAAACGTTGGTAGTGATAGAAGTTGGGTCTGGAATGCCGCAGCAGATGTTAGTGAGGGCGAGCCAGAAGCACAAACTTTGGCTATCCGTTTTGCCAACTCCGAGAGTAAGCATCTATGCCGCAAAATACAAATATTATATGGAAACTAACATTTCTCCAGACGCAAACCTTTTCAAGGAGGCTTTTATCAAGGCTCAACAAGAGAACGAAGTTTTCTTCAAGGCCTAAACGATAGATCCGTCCTCGTATTTACTTCAACTTTCCAAAACGACTCCTCAATCGACACAGCATAATCCAGCACAGCACGTTTCCTGAAGGAATGAATTTATGATCATATTTGCATTCAAACACATTTCTTCCATACCCCGTTAACCATTTACGCGCACGTTGTCGAAAACCTCTTTTGTAAACATCGACAAATCGATACCTAGACATTCTGGTGGTCCAGGTTTTCCCCAAAGATTGTATCATGATGATGATTACGATGGAGGATAGGAAGGCTTGATTAGTACTCAATTTTGAGACTATGGCATGTAGTTAGACTAAAAAATACCAGTCCTTCATTCATCCCCAAAGTACCTACCGCTTTGTATATATTTTGAAAAGTGAACATTAAGTCTTGTATGTATTGTGGACCTTTTGTGACTGGACCTATCCGAAGCATATGTAAAATAGACAAATGTATACCTAGCTAGGTAGATACTGTATTCTTCCTTCGACTCTTGAGGAGGATGTCTTATTTTGTGTGAATACTATACAACTTTAAGATGAGCTTCAAAGTTTATTTCATCAAGTGAACAAACAAAGCTGAAGCCTACTAGTGCCTACTCAAAGTCGGAATAAATTGACTCAAATTTCCAACGATTTGGATATTGATTCTTTTCCAAATCCCTAGAATTGATAAATTCCTTCTCCAAGTACACGTGATTCTCTATTCTCAATAATCTTTAGCTTCAACTAGCAAGGGTATCAGTACCCCACTCAAATTACGATCAGCCAACTGCAGGCGCGTCGCAATTGAGAACGACATCATCAAGAAATCGAAAATCCGACAAAGCTTATACCATCGAAATACCGTCAAGATGGTGGCAGAAGTGAGTGATCTGAAAAAGCTCAGCTTTCAGTCCTCTAATAGCACCTTGAACATAATTACTGACTGCGGCGCAGATTAAAAGAATGATCAAGCTCGTCACAGAGCAGCGCAACATGTAGGTCGCGATCTAGCTTTCAATTTCCCAATCTTATACTGGATTTCGAGAATACATGCTGAAACTCACTCCACAGAGATAAACCAGCGCTTCAAGAAGGATTCCCAATGAAATCATGGAACATCGAAATCTTTATGTTAGATGAAAATGGAAACGAGAAGCCTGCGACCTGCTTTACAAAGGCAGTTTACAATCTACATCCTACCTTTCCAAACCCAACTCAAAGTAAGTTTTATGATCTCCAGAATTTTCTTACACGCGAAGCTTGCCAAGTTCCCGATTTAACGTTTGCCACCACGCAGCTTTTACTGAGGCTCCCTTCCGCTGTGAGAATGAGGGATGGGGAGAATTTGACATGACGATCGATTTATTCACTACTCCAACGGGAGGCAAGCATAGCATTGCACACGATCTCAACTTTGCCAAGAGCCGCTATGAAGCTAAACACCCCATTACATTCAAGAACCCAAGTCGAGAGTTGATTAATTCATTGAGAGAGACCGGGCCAGTTCCAGGAGATGAAAATGGAGCCATTAGAAAGAAGGACGCCGATGGAAAGAAGAGGAAAAGGACTGGCCAGGTAGACATGGAGAAGTTGGCAGAAGGATTAGTCAAATTGCAGGAGGATGACCTCTTGCATGTGGTTCAAATGATTCATGATAATAAGAGCGAGGAAACATATACGAAGAATGATGTTGACCGTAAGTTCGAGCCTTGGCGCTATTAATGAAAGCCGAGGGAAACGCTAACGCAAAGAATGCAGTGGGAGAGTTCCATGTCGATTTGTATACATTACCAGAGTCACTAGTCAAGATGCTTTGGGATTTCGTCCAGACCACGCAAGGAAAAGGTTACTAGATAGGAGATGATATTTCATCGATTATGGAGAAAGCTAGCTATAATACACACATTTGGGAGGGAAGCAATATAGCTATCGAAATTGGATCATGGATGGTCGATGGATGCATTCATTTATGGCAGCTATTTCGAAAAGCGTTTTTCACAGAACTTTTACGCAAGCAAAGAGAGGACTCATTTTCACAAGTCCAACTTCCACGGCGTTCCAATTTTCATCATCGGGCATAGGATGGCATTTCGATTGCTACATTTTTTAGTTACTTTTTCTCGTCTTCATTGAACGGAGGCGGTAGGGCGTGAGCGGGTGGGCGTACTTCTTCGGATCCATCTTGCAGAAAGTCGCGTTACATGGCATGCTCTTGGTCAATATTTGTCTATGAAGCATAGTGGCCGGGATGGTGGATCAGATCAGATCATGGTGGTTCACGAGATACATAACTGGCAAAATTGAATGAATGGATGAACGAATGGATGGATGGTAGGAGGAAATTGAATAGGAATGAAATGGAATCTTTATAGAACACTGGTTTATTTCAGTGTTATTTTGTGGTATTCATACGTTAATACGTGATTCTATCCATACATTTTTTTTCATCAATGCTGCAGACTAGCAGGACTACCTAGGTAGGTAGGTTGGCTAACTAATAATAGCCGGGTATCATTCCATTTCCAAACGCCATCTTCCCCATATGCTCCTCTAAAATGCTTTACTTATCAAATGACTCCCATGATATTCCGGAAAGATACTCCAGTCTATATCTTCTTACTCGTCATCCCCGAAACTCAACTTTATCTTTTTACCCTTCTTCGCCGCAGCTTTAGGTTTCGTCTTTGATGCAGCTCCAACTTTACCACTTTCGCTCTTCTTCTGATTCCCCGTATCCTTTTTGCTCGAGGACTTAGCATCACTTTTCTCCTCTTCCTCTCCCTTCTCAATCTCCTCATCCTCCAACCCTCCAATAACCTTCCCAACCTTCCTCTTCTTACTCCCTCCTATCCCCACCGCCACTTTCGCACTCTCCTTCTTATCCATCCCTCCTTCTTCTCCTTCCCCCTCCTCACTTTCCTTCACTCCCCCTTCTTCTTCTTCCCGTTCCTTCTCCCGTCTCTCCCACTCCTCTTTACTCAACGTCTCGCCGCTCACCTCGTCAAAAACCACAGGCTCGCTTTCCCGCTCTGCATCTTCGTCAATGGGTTTGCGCGGACGCGAAATGGTGAATTCGTGGCGGCCGTCGGAGGAGGAAGCGTGGTTGGATTGGAGACGTTGGAGGAAGGGGGGGAGGGTGGAGTCGTAGGAGAGGTTTTTCGAGGTTATTTTTGACATTGTGAGGGGGGTGGTGTTGTGGGTTTTGAGGGTTGGTTTTGTTTGTGAGGATTGTGGATGTTGGAGGTCCGCGGGTGGTATTGAAATCGATGTTGATATCGATATTGATATCGATATGCGACGAGAGACCCCAGATAGACCCGAAGCTTTAAAAATTATACGGCGGGGTAGAGATAGCTTTGATGCTGTTTTGATACGGATGTCGAGATTACTCGAGATTGAAGGTGATTGATTGTATGGATTAGTAAGAAGGTAGAACGATTGGCCGATGGGGATGAGTAATATTTTCCGTACGATAGTTGGGATGGAAAAGGAGAAACTGGCTTTTCGTTACGATGGGATGACTGGATTGGGATGGACTGAGTGAGTGAGTGTGGTTTTGGGGGTGGACGATGGATGTATTATGTATGATGTGGAAAAGAAGGGGGTTCTAGAATGATCTTGTGTTTATCTGGTTGGGAGTCGATTCGTTATGGTGATCGTATTGTGTGTTTTGTATGGTATGTGTATGTATATCAATATCAACCTTCCCACCAAGATATATATTCATTCACTCCCCCCAACTTTGAGGCTGATGGATAGATAATATTCTCTTATTGTTAGAGGATGCTTTCCTAGTACAATATGAGGCCGTAGACTTACCCATCCTTTGCCCATATGTATCTATATGATAACCTCTCGAGACTCAATTCATTCAGGGGCAATTCAGATATCCTACATCCTACCGACTAGGTTGTTATAGAGCAACCAGTTACCCTTACTTATTATATCAAAACTTCCATATAAGATACCTAGATGCGTGCAGGTATCAACATGAGGTATGGATAAGAGGCAATAACTAGGATTACTTTTTTGGCTGTAATTCATTTTGCTCTATGATGGCTTGTTCGTTGCTCTTGGGATGAATAATGATTGACTAGGAGCTAGGTAATAGAAGTCAACCTTTATATTATACAATATCAATGAGAGTTGAAGTTACCTACCAACCTATCCTATCCACCAGATCTGATTCCTATCGTCCAATCTTCTTCACTCAATTCCATCAGTTTTGTTGGTATTGTTAAGTAGGTAGGTACCTAGTTCTTGTCAATCTTGTCAATCTTGTCAATCTTGTCAGTCTCGTCTCGTTTCGTGTAGAACATCTGAATATCAAACATCCAACATCTTCTCCTATCATCTCTCTCCCTCACTCTCACTCATCCATCCCAGGACTTTCCTCTCCACTTTTGACTTGCCATTCCCCTAACCTTAACCTAAAAAAAGTAATCCCACACCTACTGGTACACCTACTACACCTACACCCACTCCCACTCCCACTCCCACTCCCACTCCCACACACCCACACGCCAAAATCCGAACACTTCTCTGGCCTGACAAACCCTTCCAGAAATACTCCACACCCGCAAATAACTAACCACAGTCCACCTCATCTCAGTTCCCTTTCCTCTAAAAACCCCCCAAGTCGTTCTAGCCCATTCATTGATTGCATTGCAACACACGACAATTCACAATAACGAATTCCTCTGGAAATTTGCATGTCATAATATTTTCAAGTTTCTTCTCGCCATCAACATAACAGATTTATTTCTTTTATGTTGACGGCAGAAATTCCTCGACATAATCATAGACACGTTGAGGTTATCGCAAAAGTGTTTCTATCTTCGAGGACACCCAAGGTCCAAGTCGCTCATTATTAGAAAAAAGTATCATCGGTTTTTATGAGAAAGGAATAGCGACTCTGCCAAAGGAAATACCACTTGGAATCATTTCGATTCGATATTCCATTATACACTCTATTCCAATTACTTTTTGTAATATTATCAAATAATCCAGAAACGGCACACACTGGGTAGTGTCCTCTTCTTCTAACGGCCTGGGGTCGACATAAATTCCCCCTATCTCGAAATTTTGTCTACGAACGGTTCCTCAACTATCTCAAACACAACCACCATGAGTTTCGTTCAGAGGGTGATGAAGCGCATGCCTTCCTCAACACAATTACCATTGGATGATGTGAAGGAGAAGCCAAAAACCACATCTAGATTGGCGTTTTTCAGGCGGCCGCTTCGATTAAAGGGCAATTCCAGCATTTCGATACCACTCGGCGTAGTTCTATTATTTCCATGTATTGTCGTCGTATTGATTTTGGTGCTTTTCGTTCGCCATCCTAAATCGGGTGTGGGAATTTTAATGCCAGCTGGAGCACCACCAGCTATCAGGTATGTTTTGGGATCCATCAATCTTTCTTCTCTCTTGGAAGGCCATGGTCACTAACATTTTTGTGTGATTTTAGGAGGATCAGTGAACAACATGATAAGGTCTTTGTGACAGGATGCGCGGAGCCTGATACAAGTCAACCACGAGCCAATGCAGCATTCGTTGTGCTAGCAAGAAATAAGGAATTGGAGGGCGTCATTCAATCAGTGAAATCTATCGAAAGGCATTTCAATCGATGGTATCATTACCCCTACGTTTTCCTCAACGATCAAGAATTCAACTCGACATTCAAGGAAGTCATTCAAAACTATACCAGTGCGCCATGTGAATTTGGAACCATCGACCCTAAACATTGGGGATTCCCAGAATGGATTGATCCTAAGGTTGCCAAAGAGGGTATTGCAAAACAAGGTGATGCTGCAATTATGTATGGTGGTATGGAAAGTTACCATTCTATGTGCAGATTTTATTCAGGGTATGCCCCCGAACCTCAATTATGAGCTTGAGAGAAATGAGAAAATGCTGACAAGAGGCTAGATTCTTTTACAAACATGAGCTTCTGGCCAAATATGAGTGGTACTGGCGACTCGAACCAGAAATTAAGTATTTCTGTGATATTACATAGTATGTCTTACTTTTGGGGAGCATCCAGAGATCAAGCTAACAAATTTATAGTGATCCTTTCCTTAAGATGATTGACTCGAATAAGACTTATGGTTTCACTATTGCCGTCAAGGAATTGAAGGAAACGGTTCCAAACATCTTCCGTTACGCATCTGCATACAAACGAGTCAACAACATTACATCTCAAGGTCTATGGGAAATGTTCGTCGAGCCTCCTCCTGAGGAGCCAAAAGAGGTCCCTGAAGATGATCCAGCTTATAAAAGACCATTGCCTGAGGAAATTCTTCGAGGCGATCCATCTCGCGCATCTCTACCAGAAATTGATCCAGAAGCTATGGAAGGGGAAAAGTACAACATGTGTCATTTCTGGTCGAATTTCGAGATTGCTAGACTTAGTTGGTTCAGAAGTAAGGAATATGAAGACTTTTTCCAAATGATGGATCGCAGTGGTGGATTTTGGATGGAGAGAGTAAGTTAATATCTTGAAGGTTTCTAGTACCAGACTAACAATAAATCAGTGGGGTGATGCACCTATCCATTCTTTAGCCGCTGGTGCTCTCCTCGCCCCTCGCGATATTCATTACTTCCGTGATTTTGGCTATAGACATACAACTATTCAACATTGCCCAGCAAACGCTCCTGCACGTCAAAGAGCGCGCGAACCTTATCTTGAAAAGACAACATTAGACGAGAAGAAACGAAAGGAAGAAGATGAATACTGGGACAATTGGGATCCAGTTAAGGAAAATGGAGTTGGATGTAGATGTAGATGTGACACGGATATTGTGGATGTAGAAGGCAAACAAGGAAGTTGTTTGGCAGAATGGGTAGATGTTGCAGGAGGTTGGGCTAGTCCTTGAGAAAATTAATCGAGGGGTGAACGATAGGATAGGATGTATTGAGGAAATCATGTCATGTCATGAATGATATTGGAAGGGAACGGAAGGGATAGGGTTTTTAGAGAATCCTATCTTGGGGATGGAAACGGAAATGGATGAAGAGTGATGATATGGGGAATTGACTGATGGATGGCTGGATGGATGGATGGATGGATGGATGGGATGGGGAATTGAAATGGGAAAGAAATGGGATTGTAAAGGATGTGATGTTGCATATTATCTTTTTTTTTAAACTGTTCACTATTCATGATGAGAAATACAAAAATGATTCCTGGTCTGATTTTTATTTGTGGGGCGAGGGGGTTGTGTGTTGTCTACCCAATAGGTAGGCGATTTGTGAGATGTGAAATTCTTGGGTTTTAGATCTTAGATTTTTCTTAGAATGAAGAAGGATAGCAGGGATGAATCGGAATAATGTGAGAGTTTATTATATTGTTTATAGAATGGGATAATGATTAGTTACGTAGGTAATTGTGTGTGTGTGTATATGAATTTGAGGAAATAGCATATATAGGGAGGTAGGTAGGTAGATAGTGTTGGAAATTGAAGTTGGAGGGGCGCGGAGGTTAGGGGGCGAGAGTTAAGGGTTGAGAGGGAGAGGGAGAAGTGGGAGGGAGAGGGGGAGGGAGAGTAGAGAGAAGAGAGGGAGAGAGAAAAGAAGATAAGAAGAGATGGGGGTGGGGAGGATAGGAGATATAAATAGTATAAAAGATTCGTGGTGGGGAAGAGGAATGAGAGTGAGTGTTGAGAGAGAAATGGAGAGAAGGAAATAGGGAGAGAGAAGAAGTAGAGAAGAAAGTAAAGGAAAGGGGATATAAAGGGGAGGTGAAGGAGATGAAGGAAATGAGGGTAATTAGAAGAGGACATAGGATATGGAGAAGGGAAGACAGTGAGGGATTAGATTGATATGATAGTGTGAAAGATTTTTAGAGAGGGAGGGGAGTGAAAGGAGGAGAGGGAGGAAGGAGACAAGGGGGAGAGTGATGGTGAAAATTAAATCTGATATTAATGTGAATTCTTGTTTTTTTAATTTTCTTATTTTTTTTAAAAAAAAGGATTTTTTGGGGGTGTTTTTTTGTTGTTGTTGAATTAAATTGAGTTGACTTGAGGTGAGTTAATTCAAATTCAGGGGAGGAAGTTGATGGAACTTGGAAGGAGATTTTTAGGGCTTTGAGATTTGGAGGTTTGGGCTTGGGATTGATGGTTGATGGTTGATGATTGATGGTTGGAAGGCGGATAGTCTTTAAGAAGGGATGAGGAAATGAGGAATGAAGGGAGATGAGAGAGATGGGGGAGGGGAGGAGAGTGAATTGGGGAGAGAGAGAGAGAGAGAGATGCTTTGAAAGTTGAGTAAGAGGGATTGGGATTGGGATTGGTATGTATATATCAAAAAAGGAAGAAAACAAGACAAAAAAGAAGATAAAAAAGTATTAGCGAGGATTCAAAAGGAAGGAAGGAAAACTAACGAGACTCTACATACTTTTGAAAGATACAGAGAGAGGAGCTTAGGGAGTAAGTGCTATAGGGAATGAATTCATGTAGTTAAATGAATAGGTAACTAGAATATAAATAGTAATAATGAAAATTGTAAGGTAGGATTATTGTTATTATGTGTTTTCGAGCTTGAGGTTTGCTTGTCGTTTATTATATAATATATAACTAGGTACCTATTGGGAATCTGGAGTAGGTGAATTTTAATTTTGAGGGTTTGTGTAGTATGTGGATTTAGAATTTTGAAGAGCGAGATGGTGATGTGGTATGAGTTGTGAGTTTTGGGTTTGAGGGTCTTTTTGGGGGTATTTGGATTGATTGGGTTGGTTTGGTTTGGTTTAGTTCGTCGTTTATCGAAATTGGATATTGATTCGATGGTTGGAGAGTTTATATCTGTGTGGTGAGAAAGTAATGGTATGTTAATGGATTGGGCTTGAGAAAATTCAATCTGTAACTTGCATTTAGATGGGGAAACACATTTTAGATTGCGAGTACAAGAGTTGGTTGGGACTTGGTTTGATGCGGGAGGATTTGATTGTTTTTTGAGGGGTTGGGTGGGAAGGTATGGTATGGTAGTGTAGAGATGTGTGGAAATGTCTTCGCAGTTGAAGAGAGATCGGTATATAGTATTTTGATTGGGTTAGTTCTTTGGGAGGGGGCGGGGAAGATGGATGATTTTGTGTGAATAGAGGATTATGAAATGAATCGATAGGAGGTTTTACGGGGTCTTTTATTTTATTGGGATAGTCTATCGATGGCTGTTTTCAAGTCTTGCTGTATCAGTACGTTTATCGTGGGAGATGTCCATATGATATACCTTGAATTGAAAAGTAGAATGCTTACTTCTTCGAAACGAGTCTATCTACGAAGTACATGAGTCTTGAGGAACATCTTGAAGACTATTTGTCAAGGAGATTGAATCGTAAAAGTATGCTCAACGATGAGTCTAAGACAGAGGATCTCAATATTTCGGTATCATTACTATATTCAAAGCTTCTGAGCATCCCAGAAGTTGAATCTTACCAAAGACTCGATATGATAAGTTCGACTGTTGTGTTGTGTTACTTTCGAAGTCCAGCAATTGGAGCTCGTATCTAGTTTGTGACAGTTGGTTTGATTCTGACTATTCTGATTATAGGAGATAGTTGTGATGCCAGAAATCCTATACTACCAAGTTTGAAATTTCACCACGATGCTTAACAAGAGAATCATCCGGGTTACTCATAAACCTCAAATGCAGATTCCGAGGAGTGTTGGAGTGAGAAGAGTTCTAATTATCAAGATTATCTTCTAGCGTTGGGATATGTAGGTTGTTCTATCATTCAGTGGATTTGCTATGTTAAGCATACTACGCTCCAAGTACAGATACAAAGTCCTTACAAGATATGTTATTAGATAGGTTTGTGATACTGTACAAGAGGATTAGAATAGGAGAAGATACTTCGCGGAAACTAGCGAGTCCATCACAACCCCGTGACTTCCTACAAATTCAAGAAAATAAAAACAAAGATAACTAACACCTGTGAATGGTATTATTGACGTGAGCCCTAATCACTAATAAGCCATTATGAAAGAAGCAGAAAGCCTACACAGATAAACCTTCAGCTCCGCATTTCACAATTCGAATGAAATTTATATCTGTCTATGTAGTTTGTTACATTTGATGTCATTGTTACCGATTATATCCACAAGCGAATCCTCGCGTCATTTTATTCGCTCCGCTGATATTGTTATGATCCCTTAATTCTAATTTTGAGCCTCGAAATATAATACCATACTCCAATCTTAGTTTGCGTCGTTCACTGAGAAACCTTTGAAAGAGGAAAACATAGTGGATAGTTAGTTTCCACATTTCAATATTCTCTCATCCTTGGGCGGTCTCGGAAGTTGGTTGAAAAGTTGATACGTATGAGTGAAGAAGATGCTCGAAAATAGGAATTATTCCCGTAATTCTGACATCGATTTCAGGAAATAATTACCCACAGTGTGGGATTGAAGCTTAAAAAGACATCATGAAACCTGTTTGAGCCAAATCATGCATGTGTTCAAGGCTATCTTGTGCAAATTTCTGATGATTCGAGAGGATTACCGGAGCAGTTGAATGTCATAAATATACTACTTTCTCAAAATCTAAAATGTAGAAACAGTAGATGTATTGAATACCTGGGTCGACTCCAATGAATCTTCTGATTATACAGCGAAGTTATTCTCGAACTCTCTCAAAGTCACAACTTTATTTTGCTTTTCTAACATAAGCAAGACATCAGTTCCCTTAATCAACAAGATAGATATTTTAAACACCCGTTCGCTGTTCGAGAACTCATTATGGACTTATTAGGACGGGCCTTGTAGTATCCGATTGAGGAATTGCGACATGTCAAAGTATTTCCCGATTCGAATGCTCGTTGGAAGACATCAAGACCGGCTCGAAAGCCAATTGAGCCATTAAAACTATTTTCGATTCTTTTCCACTATTCAATTTACTTCACTTTGAGATTCGTCAATATGCACTTACTCATGAACATTAATCATTAGACGAGATGATATTAAAAATGTGCAACATATCCATTCCCCTCCTCTTCCTAAGTCTGGAGTGAAGGATTTCGTAGAACTTATTGGATTACAAATCTCAAGATGGCTTTAGATTGCTTTCCGAGATAATATCGAGTGATGTTGATTAAGGAACTCCATGACGAAGGTAGAATGGCACGAATATATTAAATTAGTTTAAACAAGTCTCAAAATGAACCACTAGCGATAATTTTCTCTCGCCTAGAGTCTATAGTCTCCAAACTTTCAACACATACCTTGTATACTTTCTTTCACAGATATTTCCCATCAGACTGATATCTAGTTACCCAATCAATCATCCCCATACCAGAGACACAAATCCCACTCCCAACAGGAAGACAACCAAAAGAGATCACCACACAGTATCCGCAACACTTACGGAAACACAACAATATCTTCCAGCTCACTATTTTCCAAACAGAAGAAAAGGGGAAATTTTCACTTCCCATAGGGATCTGATATTCTTCTTCGCTTAACGACTGTGTAATCTTATAGATGTGAATCCAATCAGATCATTAGAAACTATTTCAGAAAGGTTCAGAAATCTATCCAACAACCCACTCATCTGTACAGATCATCCTCCCTCCAATTATCACTCCTCAAAGTTCCACAATCAACAATCACCTATCTATTTCCTTCTCATAACAATAGAATACAAGCAAAATTCCTAACTTCATCTTACATATCAACATACCAGCTGTGAACATACCACCAAAATCTTATCAAACCAAACCCCAAGGGTCTCCTATGATCAATACCTTTAGATTCTGTACCCATCTATACACATTTCACCTCAAATTCCTTCCCCCAAAATATGCATCAAAAAATGCTAACCACATAAACCTATGCCAATCCAGTCTAATCCAATCTACCCGCATCTTAAACTACCTAGCTAGACACAAACCCTCTTCCTCCTTAACTATCTCTCAGAATTCCCCATTCACATACCCATCCAATATCCATTTTTCCAGTTCCATCTATTCCCAACACTCCACATGTATTCCATGCATCATTTCTCCTTCCTCTATTCTCTATTCTCTACTCTCCCCTTCCTCTTCCTCTTCCTCTTCCTGGTTCTCTAGAACCTGAGATTTATTCTGAAACTCATCTAGATAGATAATCAAATTACTATAGAATAATCATACTAATTTTTAACTCACTATACTTAATATACCTATACATATATATGATCTATACCATTCTCGCCTCCCCCCTTACTTCTCATCTCTAACTACACTTCCACTCCTTTTCCATCCCTCTTCTCACCTCTCATCTACTTTTCCACCACTTCATCTCATTCATCAACCCCATCCACCCCACTAATCCCTTTAATTCCTCCCCATCACCAACCTAAACCCTAAAACTTAACCTCCCTCTATCCATTCCATTCCATCCCACCCTATTCCCCCTATCCTACTCTATCTTACCCTATTTCCTTTCTAACTAATTCTATCCCATCTCATCCCATCCCATCCTACATCATACAATTCCCACTACACCACATCACCCTCCTTCTATATTCAAAAATAAACCACAACAGCATTTAACACTAGATATACAACTTTCTTATAGTATTATACGAAACCATCATTATCAAATGATACCCCTCCCCCTTACCAAGTCCCCTCCTCATAATTCCCCTCCTCAAAATCCCAAATCCCAAATCCCAAATCCCAAATCCCAAATCCCAAATCCCAAATCCCAAATCCCAAATTCCAAATTCCAAATTCCAAATTCCAAACAAGAAACCACAGAATCCAGGCCCCAAACCAATTCCATTCAACCCAACCTTTCAAAAATCCATTACAACCCTCAACCTCTAATCCCCAAACCCATCTTCCCCTCCCCCTCCCCCTCCCCCTCCTCAATCATTTATAAATATATAAATATACTTCTCCAATCATCAAATCCTCATATAACACATCTCAATATACAGCTCAATATACATCTCAATATACATTTCCCTTTCCTCTCGAACCCTTTTCCTTATTGATTTTCTCATTCCCTTTATTATCCTCGTCACCCTCTCTTTCCCTCCAAATCCCATTCTCTCCAAATCTCAAATCCCAAATCCCAAATCTCAGATGTTATCACACACCCAAATCACATACTCATGAGTCATTACCCCAATATTCCTCACCAGAATCCCTCACCAGAATCCCCCTTCAGATTCTTCTCCAGAACTCTCTTTCAGAATCCTCTCTAAAGTTCCTCCCGCAATTTCATGTATCCATTCACTCAATCACTCAATCACTCAATCACCTAACAAACACAACTTACCCTTAAAACTCTCCTTCATTTCTTTTCCCCTTCTCCTCCCCTTCTCCTTTCCTCCCCTCGCCTTCCCCGCTCTCATCCTTCCACCCTTCCCTTCTCCATTTCAGTCCTTAATCTCTAATCCCACCTCTTTATCCCCTTTAAATCAACCCAACCCAACCCAACCCAACCCAACCCAACCCAAAAACAAAAGCCGAAAATATCCAGATATCAAACTCAACCCAAAATCACACAACACAAAAGAAATAATCACACATGGAACTCAATATTTCAAAATTCATAAAATTTCCTTCTTTTTTTCATCTCCTCGTCTCCTCATGCTCACTATCTACTTCAACCTCATCTATACCATCTCATCTAATTTCTAAACTCAAATAAAAGACGACTCGATGAACATCGATCCATTAATCCCATTCAACATCGACGTACCATATCATCCCATCCTATCCTCGTATCATAACCATCAATTCCAATACCCATGCTAATTTCATCGTAACATATACACAAATAATCCTCCAAAAAGCATTTCTTTTCAACGCCAATTCGCCTTTATCCCACTTAAGCTCCAATCAGCTCATACCCCGAAAATACCTATACCCATAGCCATCTATGTGATTAAGACCTACAACATAATAAAGATATGTATTCTATCAAGCCCACTTCCCTAATAACGCCATCAAACCTGCTCCTGCAACCATGCATCCGAAAGCGAAGAGCATCATCTTCATTGAACTTTTACGCATTTCTTGATTGAACATGAATTCATGTGCCATCAATTCCACCAATCCTGTATAGATGAGAATTCCAGCACTGATGGAATCGAATACACCATTGATAATCATAGTCTTTTGACTACCTGGGGCAAATGTTGTACGAACACCTAAGCCAATAGCAATTGCAATAGGGGTTGTAAAACCATAAGCTGCTCCTAAAGCCCATGGCATCCATCCCTTCTTTTTAGGCCAATGAGCTGTGGCAAGTCGAGCTCCAAGACCAAGTCCTTCAAATGTTTGATGGAAAACAAGGACAATGTAAAGGACGTTAAAATCATCACCTGTGACGGCAAGTGTGAGACCGATAAAAATGGAATGAAATATGACACCAAATTCAAGAATAAATAGTGCAGTCATTTGAGCAGCAAAATGGTCACCATCTTCATGGTGTTCTCGTTGATGTCCGAGGTGATCCTCACCTCCAGGGGGATATGATAAATCATCAGGTCGACCTGGAATACTTGATCTACCTCTGGATGGTCCTTCTCCAGATGTCGGTATCCGGGTAATTGAGCTCTCGTGATCATGTTGTTCTAGTACTGCGTTGGAAGCTTGAGGGCTATCGCCAGTTTCTTTGTAACTATTACCATCTGAGGGCGAAGATGTTTTTAATGCGTCAACTTTCTCATCTCGGGTAGTTCGTCTGATGAGATCCCTTGCAGGATCGGCTGCTTCCAGGTCATGATCATCTTGTCCAAATACATCAAATCGTGACGCCATGAGCTCAATGAAGAACATGCTAAAAATAGTCATAAGGCAAATACCTTCGGCCCAATCATAATCTGTAATTGCGCCCGTTAAACACGGAGAGGCCAAATTGGCCGAAGCGGGAGCAAGTAACTATAGTCTGATTAGCACAAATGTATGTGAATTTTCGGAAGCTATCCCAACGTGATATAAGAACAAAAAAGACAAGACTAATACTTACATGTATGAAAGCGGTAGCTATAATAACACCCGATCCGAAATATTTGGTGATAAAGAATGCCAAAGGTGGAACACTCATCCTTTTCGTTCTTGCAGCAGCGATTGGTAGAAGGGCACCTACAAGTTAAGTTAGCTAAAGGTATTCTCGCGAAGTGGGATTTTATGTATTGAATCAAGGAGAAAACATACCCATCATGGACCCAAATCCAATCACGAATATGGAAGATATTCGTATACCCATTCGTCCATCATATTCATTTCCACTCCCACACGTAACTTCCACAGTATATTCCGACATGATCGCCAACTGCGACTCCTTCTGCCACTCGCAGATAGCCTATCTTCCTGAATGATCGCCCAACTTATGTCTGTCGTCTTCTATGTATTCTCGTCGGATATCTTTAGGGGATTGCCGTATTCCCAGCTAAGCTTGGACGTTGAAAGTAGGTCTGCTTATTTGGAAAGCTTCAACAGTATGGATAAATGTCGTCCAAACGGAGATTTACCGAGGGTGATGATCGAGTAGACGAAGTTAGTTGCAATGATGTAGCGGTAAATCCAAAGATTGTATGGTCGTGGGAATCTCCGTAGCTGGTTGAAAAAGTTGGATTAGCAAATTATACATTTATATGGGGTATTTGTCGAGTTTTTAAGGAAGAGATAGGATTGGTAATGAAAAGAAGCAAGTATACCTGGACAAGCACCTTGTGAGGTAGCTGAATGAAATGTTTGTGAAAACTGGAACGGTTCCAACTAACAATCACAACTTTATCCAATTTATATCACAACTGAAATGTTATTCAACAAGAGGAAGAAAAGCAATATATATATATGGATATATATAGAGATATATGTTAATGGCTAGGTACTATGTATGTACAACCGTATATTTATTTACATGCGATCCTGAGGGGTATCAAAGTATCAAAGTATCAAAGTATCAAAGTATCAAAGTATCAAAGTATCAAAATATGAAATTATTCCATGAAAGCATGCATGAAAAGGATGTAAGTGAAGAAAGAAATAGGAAAGGAAAGGCAAGGAAAGGAAAGGAAAGGAAAGAAGAGAAAAGATGATTCATTATCTAGTCTTAGTCTTCACTGAAAAGAGGAGGTACGGAGATATATTTGATATGATATTGTATGGTATCATACTATACCCAGAATCTCTAGGAGGGTATCAAAAGGAAAGTCTAAAAGAAAATGCCGTAGTACGACAATAGGAGAAGGAGAGAGAGAGAGAGAGAGAGAGAATCAGTGAGATTCATGAAAAATGAGAACCTTGATGGGTAGATACTAGATAGCCAAGCTGAATAAACCATATATATTACTAGGCTAACTCATAACGGTTAAGACGAATTCTCATTTGTCCAAAACCAGCCTTGGAATTATCAATTCTAATCGTTGTGATTGGATCTGGAATATGATAAACGTCCGAGAAGAGCTTCAGTCCCTTAAAAAGTTAAAAATCCTTTTCCAGCTTTTTTTCCTTTCACTTTCCTTAGTAATGCGGTCATTATGTCAGTACTCGACAAAGCACTGGTATGTCGTATGTCATATGTCATATGTCAATACCTACCTGGGTACTTTGTATGCTCTGACCATTTTTCTTTTTTGGTAAATACTAGGAGATATCGGTGGTATAATAGTATCGCATCAACGCACCGGAAAGATCAATTTCTAGGAAATCACTGCTCGGTCGCCTGCAGCGGTTACACGCATGATATTCTCTTTTTCTCTGAGGGTGACCGGCTCGGGTCATTCTTTCTGTTGGAGTTCGGGTACCAAAAGTACTTGGATGACATTGGACCGATAGTTGAAATGTCAAAATGCAGGTGATCCTGTCAAAAGAGAGACATTGATTCACAGATAAGATGAACTTTCTTCCAAATGACGTTACAACAAGGTAACACTAAATATACAAAAGTCTGGTGGTGCCGTGTGCACGAAGCGGTCCGTTGCATGTGCTTCGCATTATGTCGATTATCATCATATTGTTAGCTTCCCTCTGCTAGGTAATATATAAGAATTGTAACCATTCGGAAGAATCTCCGACCTCGGGAGGGGAGACAACAAACGGAAAGGTTTATATCACGTGAATCACATCTGTGGATTATTCTACCTCAGTCTCCGTGTCTCCATTCAGGATGTGGAGTTTAACAGTTATTTCATTCTCGTGTGGATCCTCTTATCTCCTCATTCCCTTCTCAACGTCCGGGTTGAAATATCTTATCCTACAACCTTGCCTTTTCTATGGTTGGATAGCCTGCTGATTTTATAACACCCAATGCTTTCGTAGATTGGTCATCTTATCAAATATTACCGTTCTGTTGCCTTCACAGCCATCCTGTTCACGTATCACTGCCGGATTGTTCTCCATAGCATCTAATTACGGTATATTCCTAAGGACGGTGCGAGGGAGTTTCTGGTCCCGATATTCGATTGAGATCGAGGAATCATTGCAAAATTCGCAACACCATAAATCCGATGTCGCCAAGGTAGTCTTCCGAATGACATATTCATCTCTCAGCCATCCATATTGTCAGTACAACATGACACACCGGCATTGTCCGGTGTCTTGGTCGAGACGTTACTGTACGAGTCGAGTTCTTTCCGGTTTTTGCTTGTGTTTCATAAGAATATCAACCTCGCCTGATCTTCACGAGCTCGCCTAAAGGAAGCGGCACTATATCAGCCCTGTGAAACAAAATGTGTTGGTACTACCTGGGTACTCGAACAACCGAAATGTTCACGAAGAATATTGCAATTCTAGTCCCAAGGCCTTGAACGGTTGATCTCTCCTCTTCATATCAATTGAAGTTCCCAGAGTAAACAATAACTCCTTGACTCTACCCTCCCATACCAAACCAACCTTTAGGTTCTGGTCAACTCTTGCTTTTAAAACTCCGGCGACCTCTTCAGGTTTCTTTTCCTTTTCCAAATCCACTTCGTCGAGTTTCCATGCAAGCTTCGCTTCCATGCTTCTCACTCTGCGCTCCTCGACTGGTGCTTTCATCTTCCACAATTCGCACCCAAGGACCAGATCACTCTCGTAGCTATAGACATTGAAGTCTAGCCTTGAACATAGGGATAGGTTCTTGCCTGCTTTTACAGCATATGTTGAACTAATGTTCCCCATCAATGGATTGAGCGTCAACGTGGCTGTCAAAGGTATCCCCTTATGCGCCGGCAATGTGGCGAACCTCCCTCCAACACTAACACCTCCCGATTTGTTCAAAGTTCCATAATAAAGCTCCGCTCCTGCGCTGAATCGTCCATAGAATTTATCATCGATCCTTGACATCTGTTTTGGCGGCTCTGTGATTTCTTTCCTAGGATCCGGTCCGAAATTATACAACCCTCTCAATCCCAGTAATCCCCCATCAGTCGAATACAACGTCTCAGTACTATATTTCCCTGTATCGTATTGATGCAGAGCTAACATCGTTCCTCCATTTCTCAGCCTACTATCACTAACAGCTGTAATCCTCAATTGCTGCGTTGGACTGATCCGTCTCAAATAAAGCGCTTCAAGCGTGCTCTGCGGTAGATAAAGTCGTCCATAAAGTAATGTATCTCGTTGATCAACTCGTCTGCCCCCGTGCCATTGTTCCCACATCCATGATTCATCAACCTTTCTAAGCTCTTGTATTTGTCGGTATCCTCGTATTATGTGATGCAAATCAATCTTCGCACTCTGCGAAGTGGTATGGAGATGCAACGAAGAATAGAGGTAGGAAAGAGAGCCATCTACAAGCCCGACACTACCTAGTGCATACGAAGTTGCGAAGTTGGGAGAGCTGAGTGACGAGAGATTAAATCGCAGACCGCCTGGGGTTTCAAAATCCAGAAGTGCTTTATTCCACGAATGTTAGTAAGTCGAAGAGCAACAAGCTTTGAGAACAAGCTTTCAAGGTAGACGGACTAGAAGAAGCAGGTACCTTTAGCAGTAGCAGTCAACTGCGAATATGAATTCTCATAGTTCCATTTCGTCGCATTGTAAAATGCAAACTGCACATAATCCATGAACTCCAACATCTCCGCACAAGCTTGACCCAGATATCAACACATCAATTTCTGATATTTGAAGAAGCAGAGAAAGAAAAGTTGCGCCAATTCATAAATAAAGCACCAGATAGATCCAACCCAATCGAATCTCATCCATCCAATTGCAGCTCAAAACATAAAAATCCGGAACAACGTTAACCCCCCACTCCGATCCCTGCATAAATTCACCCCACTAAGCCTCGATAAGTCTAGTCTAAAATCTTATCAACTATCAATCGCAAGCTTGTGAAAAATAAAAAATTACCTCCATCCATATCGAAAACCGCAATTCTCTATTAAATTTCATCACTTCTTCTCAGCTACACCACCCTTTCTCTCCCAACCACAACCACCCCAACACATAATCAAAATGCCTAAATCCAAGCGCGCGCGCGTCGTTCATCTCACCAAAGTCGATAAAAAAGGAAAGGAGCTTTCGCTCAAACTCTTTGCCAATGTGCGCGAGTCGCTCGACAGTTATCAGCATTGTTTTGTATTTAGTGTGGATAATATGAGGAATACCTATTTGAAAGATGTCAGAAATGAATTGAGTGATTGCCGGTATGTATTGTGTTATTTATCTTATTCTTGTTTTGATCAATTTGGAGATCCGAGGGATGCTGTCGTTTTGGAGATGAAGATAATATGATATGATGTTGTCGATATCGCAACAGTCAAGTCAAAGCGAAAGAAGAGAAGGCGAACAAGGATACATTGTTATATAGAGAAGAGAAGAGGGATTTTCAATTGAAAACTCAAGCATCAGGAATCAATTGGATTGGAAATTCCAACTACCACATTACCACATAGAAAACAATACTGACACCCATCCCCCTCAGACTCTTCTTCGGAAAAACAAAAGTAATGGCCAAAGCCCTCGGCAGCGACGCCTCATCCGAATATCAACCCAACACCTCCCTCCTCTCTCCTCATCTAGTCGGCAATGTTGGACTTCTCTTCACCAACCGCGAACCCTCCTCCATCATCACTTTCTTCCAAGATCTCTCCAAAACAGATTTCGCTCGTGCCGGCACAGAAGCTAGCAGAAACTTCACCATTCCCGCAGGAATAGTCTACAGTATGGGAGGAGAGATCGCCGCCGAGAACGATGTCCCCATGGCGCATAGTTTGGAACCAGAATTGAGAAGATTGAATGTACCGACTACCTTGACTAAAGGAAAGATTACTTTGGAGAATCCTTATTGTGTCTGTAATGAAGGCGATGTGTTGGATAGTAGGCAGACAAGATTATTGAAGTTGTTTGGTGTCGCTACTGCAGACTTCAGTGTTCAATTACTTGCGTAAGTCTTCGTTATTTTATCCCCACATGATTGTTTTCTAATTTTGAAACAGATACTGGAGTGCAGCCAATCAAGAAGTAACGGAAATAGAGGCTACGGAAATGAGCGAGTAAAAAAATTAAAGAAAGCAAAAAAGGCATTTCGGATCGTCGTTTCTGTTCTAAACTATCATACAGTCAAAAGAAGACTAGACTATGAGGCGTTTACCGGCGCCACGTTTTTGTTATGGAATATATGTGTACTTCAAAAATTAAAACAGCAATTGCCTGAGTGCTATGCCTGAGCTATCCGTCTTACCCCTTTGCACTTCATTTTTCCTCCTATGATCATACAAACAGTAGTCCCAGCTGAATGACAAATCTGCAAAAGCACTAAACGAGGATGGTCAGGTAATACCTTTTTCTTACCTCTGATCGTACCTCCCATGATCAAAGTAAGCCCCAAATGCGTAAAAGAAAAACCAACCACATCATACCAAACCATTCAAGAGAAATTTCGGATTGCTGAGTGTCGAAGATGTTGTAAAGCCCTTTGTAGCATGTGTAGTTATCATGCAGGAAAAGATTGGTCGTAAGTGAAAACTGCTTTTTGTCCGTACTATGAAAACGCCGTCGAGAAGCATGCAAGTAGATTAGGCGACAACACTACCTTGGGTGAAAACTTGAGATCGAAGAACCGCTTACCCCTGTTGAGAAAGGGAGAAAAGATGGAAGATTCGAAGAAAACCCACCACAAGACTGTTGAACCCACCAGCCAGTCTCATTGTATCTAATACCTTCGCAATTTACGAGGATCCTCCTCATAACCATTACTTTCATAAGGTCTCTTTCGTGAATCGTCTTCGCGTGGTCGTCCGCCATATCCTCCATCTCTAGGGCCATCTCTGGGTCCGTCTCTATCACGGTATCCACTACCATCTCGGGGTCTTACCGGCTCCATATTACTGCCACTACCTCCACGAGGAGGACCTCCATCGCGATCACCATAGCCACGGTTGCTGTTGCCACGGTATCCGCCGGATCTGTCATCATATGAGCGGCCTCCACGAGATTCATACCCACCACTTGATCCTCCAGGACCATTTCGATCTGGTGATCCTGCTCCAAAGCCTCCACCCCCTCTTCCACCATAACCACCACCTCCGTTGAAACCTCCACGACCACCACCTCCTGGGCCAGCTGGTGCGTTAGGGGGAGCGTAGCCATTGGATCCACCACCTCCATACCCACCACGATCACCTCTGTCGCCGAATCCTCCACGACCTTGAAAGCCAATTCCTCCTCGTCCACCACCACCTCCTCCTCCAAATCCACCTCGATCGAAACCTCCTCTGAATCCACCACGACCTCTGCCTCCATCAAATCCACCTCGGAAGCCACCTCGGAAACCGCCAGGGCCTCCAGGAGGACCATTGAATCCACCTGGACCCATTGGTCGTGAAGAAGCAGACTTTGTATATCCACGGCCTCCAAGGCCACCTCCGAGACGACGTGGTAACCAACCTTTTACGGTTCGACCTCTTTCGACATCTACCTTGATTCGACGATCTTTAATTCTGATACCGTCACAGTTTTCTAAACCAGCTATTCACGAAGCGCGAGCAAGGCGCGTTTGTCAGTCATTTACCCATATTCATATACCTTGATCTGGGTAACAGGAAGAAAGGAAAAAGCAAAGACAAGAAGTGGGATAACCAAATCTTTATGCCAATTGTGCATTTGAACAATTTGTTTATGGGGAATAAGGGGTTATGTTCGGCTTTACCTCTCATGTCCTTCTCTCGTTCGAAAACTACAAATGCGTAACCGCGATGCTTTTTGATCTTCTTTCCCGGCTTTTCATGTTGATGAGTATCAACAACTATGCGAATCTGTAAAACACAGAGGTTAACATGATACACTCAGCAGAATAATTAAAGTAAGCTTACTCTCTCGATGGGTCCAAATCGACCAAACTCGCGCTCCAAGTCCTTTTCAGTGGCATCGTAATCCAATCGACTGACAATAAGTGTTTTGAAAGCATCTCCTCGAATGTTTGGATCCTCGGATGGTTTGACTACATAAGCGAAAACGTTAGCAATAGTTCGAAAATTCAAGAAGAATAAGAGGGTAATGAAAGAGTGATATAGGACATAAAGGGTGGCCCTCACATAGTTTTGGGGCTTCCTGAATAATCTTTTCGTGTGCGGCCTTCTTCTCCAACTTAACACGGTCTTTTCTCTGAAGCCAGCTCTCGGTGGGCTCGTAAACATCAGTCTCCTTGTACTCCTGGAGAGCTGGGAGAAAAGCAGCAAGGCCAGTGATATTGGCAGTCTTGCGATCCTCTGGGGCAAAGTCTGAAGGCGGAACCCATCGCAAAGGGGGTCGAGGCGCGAAAAGCGCAAGAAGATTTGGTGGGAGTTTATCGGTCATTGTGGGCTATTTATGATTCCCAAAGTCTTCGCAATGATGAATTTACAGTCTTTGAGATAACTGCAAAACAATGCTGCTGAACTATATGATGAAGATGATTGTGAGAAACTGTGTCGCGTCGCAGCAGCCAGGACGCCTAATTGTAACCTGAGATTTGAGCTCCTAAGCTTAAAATATAACAAGCACGTGACTATGAATTTATTTCTCTTGAACCTCAATATGTCAAATGCAGTATGAATTTTGGAGTTTTTGTATCAACGTCAGCACAACAGTCAAAATGAGGATTACAGGATTAAGGAAAACAACTATTGGTCAGGTATGCATATGATCAGTTCATGCGGGCAGTTCTAGATTGCTAACATATCATCCAGAATGGTGTCGGCGCCTTCATTCTCCAATGTACAAAAATGGATTTTCATTATTGCGATTGGGCTGGCAGTTCCAAGGGTATGAAGTAGGTAGTATTCTCAACCTCGCCGTTGCCCCAATGCTCATACTGCCACAGTACCTTCATCAAAAATGCCCTACCGGGCTTTGCAAAAGCCAATCCTCAAATCGAAATCACCGTCTCCCCTCGACCCGCCAAACACCCAGTCATTATTGGTCATTATATCAATGGTCGCGAGAAGGCCATTTGCGTCAGAAATCTAGAAATGGGACAAATATTAAAGAAGGCAGAACTGCTCCGAGATGCGAGTGGAGAAAAGCTAAAGAGAGTCAAGAAGCCCGTGAAGAGTATCAACGAGAGTGTTAGAGGTATTTGGAGTCCTTATCATGGTGGTGGAATTAAGGTTTGAGGGGGGAATATAAAGAAGATTGTTGTATTATACATAACAGCATTACTGGCGTTAAGGATAGGAAATCGTGGGTTCCGATAGTCCTATGTCGAAGATCTCGACTGTATGAATGTTATGGTTATGGTTATGAGTTGAGTAACTTGTTAAGCTACGCTTTTCTAGACATTATCGACATTTTTGTCGGTGCTAGCATCTGATCTACATTGCTGTCTTTCCATTCAGTCATTTCATGGGCTTCATTGTTACAACGATGGTTGGCAGTGAATGTAAGTCCGGTTATGCCAGGAACTAGTGCCCCTAGAAAAATACAAGACATTTATCATAAGAAGATGGACATCAAAACATTGCGGCTTGGATCACCAGCATTGAATCTGAGTGAAAAGCATAAGCCCAGGAAATAAAGAGTGCTGTGCATGTAAGCTTGCTGTAATAGACCCCGTCAAACTACCTGCCATTTTCCAGATCAATTACTCCGAAACCTTATATAATACTTCAAATCTTACTGTCACCTTTCACAGATCTATCGATGCATTAGAATTCTCAAATATGACAAGCATGAGACTAGCAGTGGCTTTAAGGTAGTGGATCTTTCCTGAAAACATATCATACTGCCAGGTCTTTTTTTATTGCCTGATAGGGTTAAATACCCAATCTACAGTCGTAATTCATGAAATCCTAAAACCACTTACAAGTGGCTGTTGATAATATCAACGAAAGCTGGCTTCAATGAAGCACCTCCAACCAAGAAACCATCAATATCCTCTTGCTTGCTCAAATCTTTGCAGTTCTTCTCGCTGACACTTCCACCGTAGATGATTCTAGTCTCCTCTGCAGCCTTCTCGCTGACCTCCTTCTTCAACCAAGAACGAATAGCGGCGTGTACCTCTTGTGCTTGTTCGGTGGAAGCAACCTTTCCGGTACCAATAGCCCAGATTGGCTCATATGCAATGACGATCTTTGACCAGTCTTGAACCTTATCCTTAACAGCCTTCAATTGTGCGGTAACAACCTCGATTGTCTTGTTGGACTCTCTTTGCTCAAGGGTCTCTCCGCAGCAGAAAATAACACTAACTCCTCCATCAAGAGCAGCCTTAGTCTTACATGCTACAAACGAATCATCTTCTTGGAGAATGACACGACGCTCAGAGTGTCCGAGAAGTGTCCAGGTGATGTTGCTGTCCTTGAGTTGCTCAACGGAAATTTCACCAGTGAAAGCTCCATTTGGCTTATCGAAAACGTTTTGTGCTGCGACCTCAAGTCCAGGCCTCAAGTGCTCGCGGGCGAGGAGAAGGTAAAGAGTAGGTGGAGCAATAACAACCTCTAATTAAGTAAGGTGTTAGCCACATTCCAAGATGAAATTTAGGAGCTTCAAAGAGGGGTATGTAGGGTCAACAAATTCCCCTCCATTCTCAACAAATGAATGAATATAAGCCAAGGTAAATACATACCGGTATTTGGGTCCAACTTAGCATCGTTCAAGTTTCCAACGATCTTCTTAATGGAATCAACAGATCCATTCCTGATGAGAGCAAAAAATTAGCTGAAATCCTTTTGCTTGGTGGGGGGGAGAAAGTAAACAAAAGCTCTCACATCTTGAAGTTACCTCCGACGAAAAATTGACGAGGCATGATTGCTAGTTTTCTGGTAATGCGAAAAATGGTCTAAAAGGGTTTGGGTATAAGTTGATTTTGGATGAAATTGAAATTGTCTTTTTGATATGATTGTTTTACTTGTAGAAGTTTTGTATGAATTGATATCAAACTTCTTTCGAATCGGTAGGACTCGGAGTGGGTTGAGCTCTCGGCGGGACCTGACTCTACAAAAATCTAAAACCCCGCCAGAAATCGTCATTGGACCCAAAAAAATGTACGGAAACTTGCAGGTATTATGTATACCAGGCTCAATTTTCTCCCGTCGGTAACGTCTACATCAAATCGAAAATGGTATTAAGACATTATTGTTGGATCAATGAAACAAATCAGCCATTCATCTTCTGCCATCTGTATCATTATGCCGCCATGGTTTCAAATACCTCTACGAAGTACATCAATCTACCTGTTCCAAAGCATCATGTAAACATTGACGACATCGGACCTCCTCTCGTCTTAAACACACAATTGCTATCAAGCTTGTGTCCTTCAAATCCATTTGCAAGCTTGATAACATGATCAAGCCTCGAGGAAACAACGTTGCTTCAATAATTGGTCACCATGACATGTTGGCCGAGATTGGCTTGATTCATTTCACCGAGACTGCCAATAGATTAACCTCTCGTGATGTTTCAATGGACCGAAATGCATTGACTCGGGACCACTGATTGTACAAAATATTGGGCACCAATGTGCTCAGCTCATCTCACGGCATGGGACAGTCAATTCAGAATGCCATTCATATAAAAACTCAACTTCCCGTATGGTTCCAATGCTCACATTAACGCAATTCACTTGTACTTCATGTTGACAGAAAGAGAAGATTCCAAAAAGGAGCGAGTTCATTAAAATAACTTTTGATGCAACGTGTATCTAGTACATAGGAGATGCACTTTATTATCATCAGTCGTCAAATCGTCCATTGTCCTTCTAGGCCAAAGACATAAAGTCCTGCGCCGTTGGTCCATCCATTTACCATAAACCAACACCAATTTCCCAGCAGCAAATGATACCCAGCAATTATTACTAACTCATCCATCACATCAACCTTCAAGACTGAAAGCATCAAAACAATAACAAAAGGTCTCAAACCTTAAAGAAAGCAAAGTAGTGTTACCCAAATGCATACAGCTGGAATAACAGATCTCTCAACTATGCATACGCACTATCACTGCTATAACTGGAACTGTACCGATGCCGTGGTGGACTTCTTGGGGTGAATGGATGACGGCGAAATTGAGGGATTTGAGGGCGAAGACCTGTGAATGGGATTCTAGTTGTGGTTGAATCTCGATCAATGTAGCTCTCAGCGTCAGAAAAACGACGTCTATAAGTGGCCTCTCGTGGAACTGATCTCACATTCCGGATGATGACAGGTGGAGAATCATCCTCAAGTAGGTCATCAAGGTGTCTTTCGTTGTATAGGTCATCTCGATATCGAGGTGCGGGCCTTGAATATTGATGTTCTCTATACCGAGGAGCTTCTACCATTGGGACTTCTGTATGTTGACGCGCAGGATATCTCGGCGCTATGGTATCATATTCAAGTTCGCGACGACCGGCAGGTACCACAGCTCTTGATGGCTCATCAATAATGATCGGTCGGTGCGGCTGAGAAAGATAATACTGGGCAGCAGCCCTTTCTTCTTCTCTACCTTGTCGAAATGCTTGTGCAATGGCATTGGGAGCGGAAAGTGGTACAGCTTCTTCGGTATAGGGAGATTATGGATGATTGCCCCTTCGAAATTGTTGAAATATTGGTTCGGGTGACTCGCTTCTATGGGCATAATATTTTTTATGGTGCTCCCGTGGACGACGTCTACTTTGGCTACGACCTCGTCTACCACGTGAACTATACTTCTTTGAGCGCCCATCAGAATGAGAACTAATGCTAGTGACCAGAGAGCTACTGATGGTCGAAGCTCCAGTTGAGAGCGTATCGCTATCAGATTCGGATTCTGAATTTGAGTCTGACTGATAGCGCGTCGGTCTTTGTCTGCTTTTGCTTCTTGATCGGCCCTGGTTTCCATCCTTTTGGCTAGACGTATGAATAATTCTTATAGGGGCTTGAGGTTGCCCATTCGGATTGGGCGGAGCGTTTTGTGGTCTGAGCTGAGGTTGAAATTGAGGTTGAGGTTGGCCTTGTGGTTGGGGTTGAAATTGAGGATGAGGATGAGTTTGGGGTTGAGGCTGAGGTTGAGGCTGAGGTTGCATTGGAGGTCTGGTCAAGTGTGCTAATTTTTCTTGTTTTTGCCTGTCGATGATGGTGAAAAGTGCGGTGGCATTAACTTCATCTCTGGGCGAACGTTTTACTATGACGGTGATCAAAACAGTTTCTCTCACTTTGTTGGAAGACCTCTCTCTTCGATCAAGCTGAACAAGGGACCAATCAAAGTGTTGATCCGATTCCTCGTTTTTCAACCGATCCAGAAGTTTATTTACTTGGCTCTGCTGATTTGGATATAAAGCTCCTTTTTTATCTGTTATTGTTTGTGAGGAGTCCTTCAATTTTTTCAACTGGGCAACAATATCCTCTTGTGATAAAGCCTCTTCAGTTACTATAGCTTTTGCCCAGGTGGATTTTTCTTTTCCAGTCGGTACAACTTTTCTAATTGAAAAGACCGTGTGTGTTGTCAACAACTTTCTGTACGCTGCATCGTCAAGTGGTCGTTTCTCTGAGGCGTTCAGATCCACTACGTGAGAAGATTCATGTCGTGGTCGCATAGGCATTTGCATTTGCGGCAGAGACTGACCACGTCCGCCAGGTGGTGGACCACCCTGTCCTGGATGACCTTGGTGAGCTGGATGACCTTGCGGAGGTCCTTGAAAATTTGGTTGCGGTCCTGATCTACCTCCTCCTTGTGGATGAGGATGGGGTCCCGGAGCACCACGTCCCATTGCTCCTAGCTTTTGTGTTAACTATGTCACTGGCTAATAACCTAAGTGTATTGGAGAAGCTTACCAAGAGGTGGAGCCGGAGGGACGCCAGGCTGTTGATGGCTCATTTCGACGACGCCGCAGTACTTGTCTTGTCAAAAATCGACTCGAGTCCCAGGATAAGGCTTTCGTGAAAGTATCGAGTAATATCCAGAGTCGATGAATTAAGATTACGAGCTTTGAAAGAGAAAGCGGGCAACAGCGGGGCTATAACTAGAAGTTAAAGCTCGAGATTTAAGCCGCAATCACTTTGGGACACCGGAAAGCTAGGTATGCGGATAGCCAAGTGAGTTTTTACGAAGATCATGAATTAGAAAAGGAAGGTGCGAAGATTTACCTTATGTTTTACCTAGGTTTAATTTTGGAATGGAGGGGTGGGATCAATAGGCAAGGTAGTGTTACACTAATGAACAGTCACCGAGTAGGAGTGCCACAAGACAGCAAAATCGTGTGAAAATATTCCTCATTAGATACTTCTCATTCAATAGCCCCTTCGAGTTTACTGGATGGGTTGTATTATCAACAAGGTATTTGCCAAATCTAACGCCCAATTGAACTCTGTCATGCGATCAGGCTTTAGCTTACAAGCCCTTTTCAAGGTCTATGCAGAAGGCTATGCTCGCCCTGTGTCTAGGGCTCTACAATCTGTCGGGGCAAAATTGGTAGGCAGATTTCAAAGAATCTTAAATTCATCCCAAGGTAATACCGATCTGTCAATTAGTACGGCGCATCATGGAGTGTTACATCCGCAGATACACTACACGCTTTATGCACTCTCATACACAAATCATAATCTTTGTGATGATTAGATTAGATATTCAAGATATTTCGTGCCATGTCCTATGCTAAACAAAATAAAATATCAGAATATCTACAACAGTTACACATACACGTTTGCTTAGAACTTTTTCCTGTTCGAAATGTGGGGAACAAGTTTGAGGAAGTTTTTCGCAAATCTAAACGAGGCAGGATGCGAACCATCTTGCGAACGTTTTGCCTTCAATTGTATGGACAAACCACAAGAAACCACACGACAAGTAGAGTCACTCGATGCTTATATTCTCGTCGGGAACGTGAAGCTTCTCGGTGAAGACACGGTCGAAATGATAAGATAAATCTATAATACCTGATTTGACTTGGCTACAGCAGAAGGCGAGTAAACTGGGCGTTATTGAAAGATCAATTGACGAATCATTACACTACTTGCCGCGCAAACAGGTGATGTGTTGAAACTCATCCAGGGATACTCCATGATATGAGCTCAAATTAGGCCATGCTTGAATAACAAAAAATTGGTCTTGAGTCTCTGACCTCTTTTTGCAGATGCATATGCAGTCGCGTTTTATATTGTCAAAGTCATGAAGTATGTAAAGGTATGTATGTTGTACAGGTAGCTTATATGCCACGATATCGCTGACCGCTTCGTAGTTTTAAGCATGATATTTAGCATAGTCTGCATGGCGCTCCGCCCCCATTTCGAAGGATTGTGGCGTTATGAAGCATTCGTCAATACTCGCCCAGATGCAACGGAGTGCTGTTCAGTGCAACTCTTTATATGGACTATGGATCTCCAAAGGCTTTGATCTTTGGATACACTGCAGGCAGACACCATCAAAGCCACGCTAAATGTCGGGTTCAAGTGTAAAAAGAAATGCGAATTTTCATTTTCCCCTTGGATTATAAATGCACTTAATGCTGACAGCAGGGTGGTTTATGGGAAGTCATAACTACCCCGCATATCTTTCTCATTGTTGAACCACTCACACCCCTCCCGAGATATCTCCTTGGCCAATCGATTCAACCACCATGTGACCGGGATCGATCCTACTTGGTTAATAGCGATTGCAATAGTTTTCCCAATTTTACTCAACCCATTGCTTGCATGCCGAGTTCATGAATGCATAACAAGCTCTGTGACCTTGTCCATTCAAGCGGTGCACACATACATAGAATAGCGAGGAACAAGCCATCCTAAATACATTGATCGACGTGAGAGAACCCAGATGAGATGACTTTGAGGACCTGTTCTTCGGGTCTCACGAGATAACGCATTGTTTTATGTCAAATTCCAACACTTTTGAAAAATGATGGATTTATGTATGGACATTCAAATCATTCTTGATCTGCATTTACGAAATATTGCATACATCTAGAGCACGTTGTTCCTTGTTGGTATCAGACGAGTTGAATTCTCTAGGTATTTATTGAGCCTCAAGGTTTCAGCTCTATTTTCCATTCTTTTTTCAAGGAGCCGGGCGTTGAATTCGGTGACACATTGTCCATATCCTTAAAGCTTTACCCACAGAGATGACGGTGTCCAGTTGTAACTTTCCAATTCGAAGGCCTGACGTTACATGACCATGACCGGTAGCTAAATCATCTGGTGTTTCTGATTGTTTCATATCAAGCCACGACTTTTCAACCAAGTGGTTCAAATCATCAGCGCTTCCATCACTATCGCATGTTTCAACTACCTAGCTATTTATAAAAAATCAATCATGTTAGAATGTTATCTCTCTCCCCTCCTGTTCATACTCTCCAAGAAATAATATAACACTTGTCCCGATAGAGAAGTCTCTATCGACCATCTACTCCTCGGTGATACATCAACAATGCGATTGGATATCACAAACTTACAGTATCTGCATACATGCATAAACACATGCATGTATATCGCGTTCCTTAGTCCTCACTCCAAATCGTCTATCCATACCCACTTACCTACCTACATTAAACTAGATACATAAATCTTCAACGCACTACGTACATCGCAACCATAATCCACAATCGAAATAAAAAGCTGAATGAATGAAGAAATACTAACGCATGCTCCATGCACTAACGGGTAGAACGATGCATTTCCCATGTGGTAAGTGGAGAGTTGGTTGGGATGACGTTTAAGGTTATGTATTTTCCTTTCCTCTTTTCTTCCTTTCTTCTTTTTTGAAAAAAAGAAAATCTTACACTTTCTCGGTGATCGGTGAGGGAGGTAAAGCTACGAGAGTAGTCACACGGGCATGTAGCCCCCGATTTGCATGCGCGAATCTTCCCGCGCTGAATTGAAATGAACTTGAGATGAGATGAGATGATATGAGATGATATGATTTAGATGTTTGGTTGAGCGTGGCGAATTATCGGGACATCGTCCCGTTTCGTGTTTGGGAGCTGGTTATCCTATTGGTGTTTGAGGGAAGGTGTGATTTCTGCTTGTATTGTGTTGTGCTGTATTGTATTGCGAGGCTGTGCGTGCGGCTTATACGAGTCGAGTGTTGATCTATTAGGGTGGAACACTTCTTGTATTCTCTACCTTTATTCATACTGTGCAGTATAGCATGGAGGGTGTCAAAGTATGGCATCTCACAAGAGAGAAATCAGTAGATTCAAAGAGGTTTTGGTTGCATTTAGAAAATGATGGAGTCATTCTTGTTGTTTGTGGTAATTTAGGGAAGGAGAGTGGCTTGTTCTGTATTTATCCTAGTCCAACTATTTGAGTCTCTTGCTCCCTTGATAATTTTGGATCGTTTCCTTTTTTTTTCTTTCATACCTGCATCATTGCTCTCCTTTTCTCTCCCTCTCTCTCCTCTTTGCACCCAGCCTACTTAAATAAGCCAACTTTACATCCCCACTTGTTCGACATAGTCAGTGTCAACCATTCCGTGAAGGGGTTTTGGTCTCTCGCTTCCATTCTCGAGAAGGTTTGTAGAATACGGATCGTGGTATATGATGCTTCTATTCTCCTTGTCAGTTCTTCATCTCATCTGAAATGATAAAATAGAAAATAATCCCAAGCTTAAGATACAAACACGAGAAAATAACATACCCGTCAGTGCGAATTGCTGTCCAATACAAATACGCGGTCCTCCACTAAATGCGATATATTCCCAGCTTCACATCATAAGTTAGTGAGGTTTCTTATCGTTGAAAGTCGACATCAAACTTCAATTACATACCCCGGTCTAAATTTCTCCCACCTCTCAGGTTTGAACTCGTCGGCATCTTCACCGTAGATATCCTTTCTTCGATGCAATCCGTAGGAACTGTATTGTACCAAAGTCCCCTTCTTGACCATGGTTGGAGATCTTTCATCAGGTCCGCCACCTCGGGGAAGTACCGTGTCTCGTATTGCGACACGACTTGAAGTTGGGACGATAGGGTAGAGTCGCATTGCTTGTGTGTGTTAGTTCTCTTTCTGGAGATGGAGAGAAAAGACAAGTCAAGTCAAGGAAACAAAAACTAACTCTCATTAATACACCATTTCAAGTACTTCATATCCTTCATCTCCTCAAAAGTTGGAGCCCTCCCTTCTAGACCCATAACCTCTTTTCTCAATTTCTCAAGGACATTCTGTTCACGTGAAAGTATCATGAAGAGAATGGTAAGTAAACTTGCTGTAGTATCACGTCCGGCGAGTAGAATGTTGAGCAACTCTGCTTGAATTTTGGATGCGCTGTAGCCGGATTTGGCGAGTTGCTCAAGAAAGATGTAACGGTCTTGATCTGTGGATTCGGATTTTTGAGGAGGGGCGGAGACCTGAAGAGCGAGGGCTTTGTCTACGTAAGTGCGGACGTAGGAGTGGACATATTTTATAGAATCTTGGTGTCTTTTGTTGGGGAAAAGAGTAGCTAGTTTGCCCACTGATTATTGGTCAGTATCTTGTTTATATTTGTGAAGCATGACGGGTAACAGGGGAGCGCTTAGAGATTTGGGTTTTGCTTACGACGAACTTGTTTGCCGGTTTGTTCACCAAGCTGTCAAAGTTAGCACAATTACCTCAAATGGATGCTAATAGAGCTCACAACTTACATAATCATAAGCTTCCGAGTATCTATGCCCAGGCGAATCAAACTTTGTTTCATCCAATGTCTCGGTACTTTCACCGAAAAGGAATTCCGTAGCTAAATCTCGAATATCAGTACATCACATCCCATCCTCTCATCATCCATTCCCCTCTCCACCCGAAGAAAAAACTCACCGGAATCGATCGTCAACATGAAAAACAATTTTGACAAATCCACCGTGTTACCATTCTCCGGAATCCTCTTGATCAATTTCTGAATATGTCTCTCGAAAACGTCCAAATCAGCAACCTGACTCCTCACAAAATTCGGCCGTAGCATCGCGCGAGAGTGTTCCCATTCCGTCCCATCCAAGATGAAAATCCCCTTTCCAAAGATCGGCATCATAGCCGTTTTCCTCCGCGGCGATAGCTCGAAATCCTTAAACCCGGTAGCCAATACCGTTTTGATATTTTCCGCATCAATGGTATTGATAGTGTGCGTGCCGAGAAACACAGAGGAATACGTGTTTACACCGAGGGACTGAAAACGTTTCTGGGTCGTTTCGATGAATTTCCCTTCTCGCGCCGCGAGAACATTGGAGACGAAGAGGTCGAGTCCGTAGAAGGGATCTTTGTGGGGGTAGGAGGCGGGCGGGAGACAGTGGTTTTGCTTGGCGAACTTTCTTTGTTGGGCGGAGAGCAGGATTTTTTGGATGAGGGTGTAGAGGAGAAAGGTGGTGCTTAGGATGAAGAGGATGCTGGTTGTGAGGGATTTGCTGGGGGGGAATTGATCCATGATGGATGGATGATTGGTCTTCATATTGGTAGATTGTTTGATGGTTGGTGGATGATGTGTTTGTTACTTAAAGACTGATGCAGGAAAAGCGCAAGAGTAACCCGGATACGAACACTAATTTTCCCGGAATAGATCTGCAAAAAGATTGCACATACGCTTTTAATCAACCATAGATAGACAAGACACAAACTTCTTCGCACTCAGATAGACGAAAGCTATCTCATTCCAAGCCACCTCACAAAAACGCTCAAGGAGAGAAACGTTTCAAATATGTAGAAGAAGCAAAAGCACTAAATTAGCTTCGGTATTGTGTTGATGTGGGCGGCTCTTATACTTAGAGAACATTTTAGACTCACTGGTCTTGTAAAGTGGTACCTGCCCCCGAAAGCCCCTCACAACATCACTCCACTATATACCGATCGGTCCTCGGTAATAGCCCTCGTGAGAGCCGGACCAATGAACCCACATATTTACAAATCAAGCCAACCCAATCGAATTAGATGCGTGCTCGATATCTCTTGTATCCGGCAGATCCTTTTATCTATTGGTGGTGCGAGGAGTACAAGCCATTACATATTGAAGAAAAGAAATGCCGATCGCTGGAACTAATAATGTCCATCCGACTGCGAAGGTATCACATCAGTCAACTTCCTCGAATTAGAACTAAGTCAGTCATGTCAAATTTAGATTAGATCAATCAAAACATATTCTCATCATTTTCATTTTCAGTCTCAAGATTCAGTTTGTTGTATTTAATTCCTCTCAAATACATTTAGTAAAGGGTGACCCTATCACAACACAAGAAAATGTAGTTAAAAAAGATTTCCCTCATCCGTCCATTCCATCCCATCCCATCTACCCACGCTTCACCTCCCTCATGCATTTTGGGGGAGATAAAATGATAAAATGCATCCCACAATACAAAAAACAATTTCGCATAGCACCGTCTGCCCACCCGCTACCATAGTGCACTAATAAGCCCCCTAAAGTCCATCGAAAAATAATGGCCAAAAAATAACTCCTTCGCCTGAAAAGATATCATTGACTTAAACCCCAAAGAACGATAAACAATGGTGACGACGGAGACGGAAGGAATTATGAAAATTGACGAATGGACGAATGGATAGACGAATGAAGAAAAGTATGACAAATGAGATAGTATTGGAAGTTGTCCTGGCAGCCGTTAGACGTTCTTTACCGAAAATGAAGGAAAAACGGATCTTGTTTGTTTTATCGAGTTAGGCGAAAGTAAAATTCAAGTAGAGGCATGAGTTCGTAAAAGTTATTTAAGATTGTGATTGCATCTAGAAAATTGATCGATGATTAAAAAATTATGTCTGTTGAGTTGGTTCAGTTGGCCTTTGGCTAGTTCGGCTTGGAGCACGATGTGTCTGTCCATAAGAGCCTGATGCTGCACTCATAGTTCGACGACCTTTGGGAGTTTCATGATGAAGATGACCGACATCGTGTTTGCCTATTAGCAAGTTAGATAAATCTTTGAATACAACATTACAAGTGACACTTACCATCGCAGCATGCTCGTACGTTCTCTAATCTGTCAGATTCCCGATCCTCTCTTTCGATTTGTTCTCTCAAATCCTCAGCACTATCATGAACCTCACTGGCTTCATAGATACTTTGGGCCCCATTAACACTTCGGCTTCTTCGACCAGAGAAAGATCTATTTCCATCACCAGGCAATAGGTAATTGCTCAGTCGAGAGAAAGTGTTTGAAGCCAAAGTTGGTCTTGAAGGTCTTGATGTTAATCGAGGATGCATAGTAGAATATCTTCTATCCTTGCTTATTGGCGAGTCATTACGAGTAGTTCTACTGTTGTATGATGAAAGGGATGGAGCTCCTCGTCTACTACCTAAGTGTGCATGACCATATCCAGGATTGAACTCATCGACATCTTCGCTTGTCAGCGCGCCCGAGACTTCAACAGTATCAGTCACAGCATCTTCTCCTGTGCGCAGAAGCAAGTATGAGAGTGCATTGAACCAAGTTTCATGACGTTGTCCTGTGCTCGCAGTAAATTGAACAGTCCGACCAGGTGTTAAGATAACCAGGCTCTTGCGATGTAATCCAGGTGGCATGGGGTTATCATCAGTTACAACTCGAACCGCTTCGATGGCTACACTCTTTGCCTTCAGCTCCGAACGACCAGCGGTCGAAGGATCTCTATCACTCCAATACAGTGTTCTTGTATATGGATGAACCCAGAAGTAACGTCGATGACGATTTTCTGACATTCCACCACGACCAGCTTTGCGAGTATATTTCCAAAGATATTCACCAATCATAGTTTGAGTAATAGCATTAATCATCCTTGGATCGGTACTTGGCTCTACGCCTTGTGGCATTGGAACTCCAGCACGTAGATTGAAGCGAGTATCCACCTCAGATGCGAATGAAGACACCGAGGAGTGTCTTGATCTTCCTGTGCCAGTTGGAGAGTGTACTTCGCGCTCAGTAGATGGGTTTCTATATTTTGAAGTTGATATTATCTTCAAAGATCCATGAGCTTGAGAACTTGGGGTCTTGGGTCGATTCTTTTGACTAGATGGTATTGGAGGAGGTCCCATAGCACCTGTACCTGCGCTAGTTGAGGATCCAGTACGTTTTGGTTGTTCCTGTTGTTGCTGGTCTTCAGGAAGCGTAGTGAGATGTCTGTGGTCACCTGATCCATTCGCAGAACCTGTACGTTGAGCAGCAGCAGCAATGACTTGCTTATGATCTGAGGGTAGAGGTGGGTGAATGCTTGTGATTGATGCATTCCTACCACTTCCAGAACTTGTAGGTCTTCTCGCAGCCATAAAATCTACGGAAGATTCAGTGTCAGGACTCTTTGCTTTTGAACGACCAACGCTGCCAATACTCTCTTGTGACTTGTGGGTTTTAAGGGCTACAGGGATGCTAATAGCATGTGGCGAAGAGTGAACATTAGACTTCTGTCCGTCCTCTGCAAGGACGGTATCCTGTCTCTTACTCTTGTTGAGCATTTGGTCGATTTGTTCTGCGGTCAAAGCAGTTTGAGAACTTTCGTCTGTCATCTCAACGCGAGGCTTCTTGATAGATCGTTCGGTGGTATTGCCCGATACTGGTTTGAATGGTCGTTGAGATTCTGGTGTTTCTGCCACTGGTGATTGACTTGGCGATTGACGAGTCTCATCCTCAGCAATGATTGGCGCACTCGACTGCTTTTTGTTCCAAGCACCGAAAACGGAACTCATGAAGCCAGTCTTTGGGGTATGTGGCTCATCTCTTGACCTGGGCTCCTCTGATTTGATCTGATCTATAGATTTACTCTCTACAATAGGAGATGTGGATTCTGATTTATCTTCAACAAAAGATTTACTTTCCGAAGCTGGGAATGTAGAGAGCAGTACACCATCTCTCTTTGGACCTTTTGGAGTAGGAGGTGCAATAGGTTCTGTATCAACCGATTGGATGGTAGAGAAGCCCAAACCTGGAGACATTGAAAAGTAATCGGGTCTTGGTGAGCGTTTTGGAGTAGATGGGAGAACATCAGGCAGAACAGCAGGTAAAGTAGATGGTTCTGAGCGAACATTCTCGATAACGATTGGCTCGACGTGTTCAGATTGAATAGTAGACATCGTCAGTGGCTCAATCGGGATCGGCTCGGCGCTGATCTGCTCTGACTGAATTGTGGATAATGTCAGTGGAGCAGCTTCTGTTGGTTCAATTTCTGGAATCGGTTCAGCTTCGATATGTTCAGATTGAATTGTAGATATTGTCAATGGATTGGTACTCGATAGTGGAGGCGATGGGAATTTGTCCAATTTTTCGTCAATGAGTTCACTGTCGTATTGTGAACTCATATCGCTGTATGTTGTAGACACTGGCCGTGTTACGTCGTGTTGTGGTTGAACCTTTAGTAATCCATCTGCTTGCTGTTTCATTTGTTCATCGTGCCACTGATGTGCAGCATCAGACATTGGTGGTCTACCCGGATATTTTGAAGAAACAAGATAAGCTTCTTCCGTTGGGCTAGACTTAGTTGCCTCAACTTCTGGAGAGATTTCAGATGCCTGTGGCTCGATCTGTGGATGTGAAACTATTGGCTGACCTTCTTTTGTCAGGGGCTCATCATTTGAAGCATCGATTGTAGGTCGAAGAGCTTGAGATTTAGATTCAGGTTCGGGTGATATAGCTCGATCGTGTTCTTTATTGAGACCTAATACAGCCGCAACACCACCAGCAGCCCCAAGTGCGGCACCGGTAAGGCCTGACAATATCGGCACACTTGTCGTTTGTGTATGTGGCTCGGGCTCCCAGGGATCGGTCATCATAGCAGAATCGATCATTGGTATTCTTGGTACTGGTGGTATAGTAATCGCAGCAGAAACATTCCTAGCGGTGCTTGGCCTCGATGATTGTGGAGTATTGCCCCTTGATGCGTAGCGACTAGGAGGACCAGAAGCGACAGATTCATCATCACTTCCTAATTCGCCCAATTCTGCAAACAAGCTTTGTCCAGCCGGTTTAGGAGTACCATGATTGCTATCGACAAAGTCAATTGGGCTTTCCGCTTTAGCATCATCGCTAGCAACACGCGAACGACGATTGCCATTACGGCTGATCTTCAGTCTTAGTCGTTGTGGATGGATACCAGGTGTCTTTGAATCTTCGTACATGTACTCATCCTCAGACGTTGAAGCAGTGCTCTGGAACGAATCACGATTACCAGCCTTTGACAAGGCCATAGATTGACGTGAAGCCTTCGCTCGAATGGTACCGCCCTTTTCTGTTTCTGTGTCTGTATCATCCGCGCCAGCCATATCTTCAACACCTGTTTGGAAATCTTCTGTCTCTGTAGAACGTTCATTTGCCGTTTCAAAAGCATCACTTTGTTCAGTAGAGCTTCCGAAAAGGTTATGAGAAGACTTGCCAATGCCAGCCGCCATAGAAGCTGCAATAGCGGCTCCAGAACTAGCGCCCATGGAGCGAGGACCACGGCTTGGACTAGGTTGTTCATGATCATCCTCCCAGTCAATATCCTCAAAGTGGTCTTCCTGATCCTCTTCAATCAAGACTTCACTTCTACTATTCCTAATACCACCAAGTTGGCCCACTTTGAATGGCTTCTTGGCTTGAATAGGGGCATTCTTTCGAGCTCTTCTCGGTCCAGGGGAGTCTACCTGTGGTTCGCCTCGGCGCGCAACCTCAATTTCATCTCTAGCCTCTTGCAGCATACGCTTCAGTTCTAGCTTTTCGGTTTTCTCTCTGTGAATGTTACCCTTGAGATTTTGAATCATTCGATGGGCGTGATGAAGAGAGCTCTTCAAAGTTTCGGATTCTAGCATGCTATGTCTAGGAGTCATTTTGATCGGCGACGGAGGCGGAGAATGTTCAGGGGTGTTGTTATCAGTTGTTGTCTGAGGTTCCTCCTCGCCACTGCCATGGGACGCCTCACGTTCTTCCACTCGTCCTCGATGATGTGCTACTGCTCGCGCGAGCTCTGAGTTCTGACCCATCAATTCTTCAACCTTCTTCTGAAGAGCCCCCTTTTCGGTTTCGAAGATCGTCAAGCTTCGCTTAGCAGTTCCCAGTTCCACATCAAGATGCTTTACTGTGGATGCGTGTTGATCTTGGAGCTTCGCATGATTCAACTTGATCTCGTCCAATTCCTTTTGCGTTGCGCTCTTTTCGGCTTGTAAGAGACTTAGACTCTGTGTTAACCTCTTTTCGCGTTCCGATGCCTCTTTCTGCGTAGCCAAATGTTCATGGATTTGAGTTTCTAGGTTCCAATTCTCATCCTTGTATCTATTTTCGCTCTCATCCAGACTCCTCAAACGTTGAGTAAAACCTTCGGCTTCGATTTCCAACCTAGACTTCTCGAGAGCAACAGTCTTGAGAGATTCTTCCTTCTCTGCTAGAAGTGATTGTAGATGCCGCACTTGTGCTAACAGTGAGGTACTAATTTCTGTCGCGAATTCGATATCGTGTACCCTATTCGCAGGTTGATTTCGCTGCTTTCGACTGGGAACACTGAATTTAGAAGGAGAAGCAGTAGCAGTTGTATGACTTTCGAATTTGGAAGGGCTTGCGGAACGCTACATTGTGTTAGTAATGGTAAATTTGATGTAACCATGAATCTATCTATACCTTATCAGTAAAAGGTGATGATCCCATCTCGCTGCTGGGTACTCTTGACTTTGGTAAGAAGGCTCTAGCTGTCTCCCTTCCCACTTCATTATATTCTCTCTCGATGTCAACCAATTTCTGTCGCAACTCTGGTGTAATGTCTCCTTCGCTCTGCTGTTTCTCGACTTCCTTCAAGCGCTCTCCCAAATCTTTTCTCTGCTGTAAAAGGGTTGTACCGAGGTTTGAAGCCTCCTGGATTCTTCGTTCCGTCTCTGCAAGATGTGCTTCTAGTGCCCGTTTGGCTTGTTCGGGAGATGTTGAAGGGCCCAGCGCGAATAGTTGTTTATCGAAATGAGAAAAACGGTGGCCGCTCAAAACCGAAGGAGGAGACAAGAATGGATCATTGCTACTCCTACTATCTCCCGCGTCGGACAGTATTGACGGATGATCCATTGCCAAAGAGGTCGACATTGTGGTGACCGCAATTTTAATGTGGGAGAAGGAATAGAATAATTCTCGATTAAAGACAAGTCTTGTAGATTGGGAAACCCTCTGCGCCCAGGTAGGACTTGGGGCCCCTCGAAAAGCACCGGACTAATTCGTATTCGTAGATCGGAGGAAACAAATGCGGTACTTAGAATAATGTGTCCGACGAGAATAAATGAGGTTGTACCACAGGTAGGGTAATAAGTAGTTGTATAAGTAGGAGTAAGAGTAGAAGCAGAAGCAGAAGCAGAAGTAGAAGGAGTAGATTGTATATTGTATGTTGTATGTTGAACCAGTTTAGTCCGATCTTCGATTTGTTGATCGGGGAACTTGAGCAATCTTGGGGAAGCCAGGGGCAAGAGGTTCGCGTGTTGATATATGATCGGTGCCGTACGGATTTGAACCGCCTGGGTACAGAATATCGGGGGGTTTCTTTTTTTTGCTTATCTTGACGCGACTAAAGTGGTAAACATGCAGTAAATCGAGCAAATCCAGCAAATCCAGTAACTTTAAATCTTTTATTGGTACCGTGGATTCAATGGTACGGATAGCAGTTGAAGAAAAATAGTCAAAGCGATCAGTTTGGAAGTTTGGAAGAAGTTTAAATAAAGGTATCTTGGGACACCTCTGGATGAAGAGGAGGACGTGGAAAAGAAGGGGAAAAATTAATTAAGTAGAAAAATAATGAGTGGACTGTGTTGTATGAACACGAAAGATCACAACAGAGAGAGGGGAGGATTATACGGTCTCTCTCTCTCTTTCTCGCTTTCTCACACTCTCCCAGTTGACAGTTGTGGTTCGAGGGGGGAGGGATGAGAGAGGGTCAAGTTCATAAGTTCTTCTCGCTTCACTTCAATCAAGAGTCAAAACTCATGACGGTCAAGGATCCCAAAGTAGAGTGAAGGTCTAATAAGTCTTGCGTGAATTTAGTTAGAGTAGAAGATTATGATATGACCCAGGTACGCAGAGCAGATACCTAGGAAGGTAGGTAGGTAGATATGTAAGTAATTCTAGCGTTGTTTTATGTTTATGCATTTTTTGTGTTTATTTTCTTTCTTTTTCTTTCTTTTGTGTTGTATTTATTTATAATTTGTTTATTCAAGCTACATACTGGTAGGTGGGTAGGTAGTAGAGAGTAGGTAGGTATTGGTATTGTAGTGGTATTGGTATTGGTATTGGTATTCATTCATTCATTCGTTCATTCATTATCTCTTCATCCACCCATTCTCCCCATCACAACCAATGACATACCCAGATGTTGCCCAATGGATTGTTGTCAACAGCCTCATAAATCAAGTGGAATAATAAACTTCCTATCGCAGCAGCCACTCGTCTTTACGTGTATGTTTCCACTTATGCTGTTCATAAGCACATGGACAACACCCAAATGCCAGGAACAACAAAGCAATCCAGGTGTATTGATTTGGCTTGAAGATAAACAACGCGTATCCAAAATCAAAATAGCAACGGCCCTATAGTTTATCATAAAAAGACTCATCGACCAAACAAAGTGTACCTGAGCTAAAGAGGGGGAAGTGTCAACTATCGGAAAGGCTTGCATCAAAGTTTGCATAAGAAACTAAAATTATGATGAGGATTCCATGTGTGATGGCATGCAAATACTTAATACGTGGGATGAAAAAGAAAGTTATACCTTATTATTGCAAGCTATTCCCTTGTATCAAATGGGGGAGAATTGCTGAATCTCACTAAATCAATCTAGCTACGGGCCGACACTCTTATTATTATATAAGTTACAAGTTACCAGTTACAAGTTACAACTTCCCATAATCCCATTCGATCGCTTTCAGGGTCCATCGTCTAGGATCTGACTTGAAGAACATCGATGATTGATCTATCAAATCTATCCTTGTCTAGGTAGGTATCTGCCAGTAGGTATCTGCCAGTAGGTATTACCTCTAGGTATTACCTCTAGGTATTAGCCGGAACACCAGGAACTCCCAAATGGAAGGTTCCAAAGCTTCCCGAGGTGTCGAAGTCTTACAAATCATGCCTGAGGTTATCGACGGATAAGGCTGATTACTTAATATCTTAGCTTGATAAAGCTCCAGCTTTGACTTTTCTTAATTTCTCAGCCTTTCGTAGATGATAAATAGACAACCTTGGAAACTCACTCATCCATGGGCATCAACTGATCCATCAATTGACTTCATCCATTGACCTCATCAACTAACTTCATCATCAAACCATCAATTAGTATCATCAAAACTCTACTCGTTGTAGAAAACAAACAATGGATAATGCCGAACCTTCTACAGCTCCTCCAAATCCTCCACAACCAGTAGCTATATTCAAAAAGAGATCAGCAAAAGGGAAATCCAATTTCCGCAAAAGAGCTGCAACGCCACCACCTGCAGACAGCGACGATGACACATCAGGATATTCTTCATCAGAAGACGAAAGTGGCCGACGCATAAAACGAAGAAAGAAGAATACTGGTGCCATAACCGCATCATCTACAAACAATACCTCATCCACTCCCTCCGACCTTTCCGCTACAAAATATACCGCATCTCACAGCACTGTCATCCGCGCTTCTGACGACGCAACTAGAGCTAGTAATTGGTACGATGAAAATGCGACAGATGCTCTCTCTGCCAAGAATCTTCTAGGCACCTCACGCTCGAAACCCTCCACGGGAGATATCCCAGATGGAACATACAAGGGCTTAGCAAACAGCACGAAATTCATACAAAAGAATCCTGACGCCCCAAATCGCGTCGTAGGACCTGTCAAAGCACCAACGAATATCCGCACTATAACCGTCACAGATTTTGCGCCAGACGTATGTAAAGATTACAAAACGACTGGATTTTGTGGATTTGGAGATAATTGCAAATATTTACACGCGCGAGAGGACTATAAAGCAGGCTGGCAACTCGATAAAGAATGGGAGAATGTGACGAAAGGAAAGAAAACTCTAGGGGGAACAAAAATCGCAAGCGCGGATCGCAAAGGAGATGATGAAGAGGAGGAAGATGATGCGTTTTTGGAGAATATACCCTTTGCGTGCATATTGTGTAGGGAGAAATACAAGGATCCAATTATTACAAAGTGTGGACATTATTTCTGTGAGAGCTGTGCGTTGAAGAGATATAGGAAAGATCCGAGTTGTGCGGCTTGTGGGGCGGGAACTAGTGGTGTTTTTAATGTGGCCAAGGGGTTGAAGAAGATATTGGATAAGAAGAGAGAGAGGGCGAAGAGAATTAGAGAGGAAGCTATTGCGAATGGGGAGGAAGTCAGTTCGGAGGAGGAAGAGGAGTGATGGCATTATATCTATATCTATATCATTTTGTCGCTGAGCGTATATGCTATGTTATGCAGACAACATTTGGAAATAATGAAATCAATGAACATGATATGATGCACAGATGTGGTCATAACGCACAACAGTACAAGAACGAAGAAAATAGTCTGAGAAGCAGAGCCCGGATGTACAAATAGCAGCAAGCGAAGTCCAATAGCAGAAACTCAAATAGATAATGTATATCTACTAGCTAGGCTAGCAAATAATACCTTCTCCTCTCTCTCATCTTCTCTCTTTAGCCCCTTCATATCCACCCCCTCTCTCTTTCGCTTCAGATTTCTCCCCTCCTTTATATTAAACCTATCCTGTATTCTCTCTCCCTCTTCTCATTCATCTCTCTTTTCTTCATCTCTCTTTTCATTTATCTCTCACATCACATCCACCTCCTTTCATCTCCTCCTCCCCTCTCATTAAACCCCCTATCAACCCACCATCGCAGTCGTCGGACAAGGCAACGCAAGCGTCCGCCACTCAGTCCCACACGTCCCGTTATCACATGTTGTTTTGCAACCTGTAGGTTTTAGGTTTTGTTAGTTTGTGTTTTTCTTGTAGGGGTTTTTTTTAGGGGGGGTTTTAGAGGGGGGAGAGGGTAAAAGAGAGGGGAGAGGGAGAGGGGAGGGAGGAGAGAAAAATGATTATAAAAAGGAGAAGAGGGAGAGGGGAAGGGAGTATGATGGGGGAAAGGAGGGAAGAGGGAGGAGTATGATGGGGAGTATGGTAAAATTATGACAGGGAGTATGATAGAGAGTATAATGATTAGATAGGAAGTAAAATAAGGAGTATAATAGAAAGAAGAAGAAAGAAAAGGAGAGAAAAATGATTATAAACAGGAGAAGAGAAGAGGGGCAGAGGAAAACCCTGAAATAAAAAGTGTAAAACACACAAGAAATCAAAATCAAAATCAAAATCAGAAACTCCAAAAAAAATTATAAAATAAAAATAAAATAAAAACTCACTCGTCACCGTCCCAATCGATCCACCACATCCACAATTTATCGTGACGGTAGAGAGATATACACACTATTTGAGCACGCGGTTAGTTTTTGTTTTTCTTCTTCTTCTTCTTCTTCTTCTTCTTCTTCTTCTTCTTCTTCTTCTTCTTCTTCTTCAGTACCAAAATCCACTTCCTATTCTCTATTTCCTTTCCTCTCCTTCAATTCTCCCATTCCCTATTTGCAAAATCGCAATTCTCCCAAATCCCAAGAAAGTAAAACTAAAAACTAAAAAGTAAAAGAAAGAAAAAAACCCCCCAAAAAAGAAAGGAGAACTCTCACATCAGGACTCGAACACGGACCCCCCACAACCGACGGACACGAATCTCCCTTTGTGAGCGTGATACTTTCGCAACTCGAAGTTGGAGTGATAGTTGGAGTGGTAGTTGTCAGGGTGTGGATGGGACAGGGGAAGATGCAGTTTGTAGGGTAGGGGGGATAGTAGGGACAGGAGCAGGTGACGAAATTGGGGGTTGTAGTAGGGAGAGTTTGAGTAGTGATGCTGGGGGTAGAGGTGGAGGTGTGAACTGGACAGGGCGGATTGCAATAAGTTGGGTAGGGAGGATAGTAAGGACAGGAACAGAGTGTTGGACCACCCGTGGGTACGGTGAGGGAAGTTGGAGAGACGATTGTGGTGGAACAGGATGTTTCATGGTAGATTTGATGTCCGATGTTACAAGTTTGCGAACAGGCGGAGGGACATGGGGTGTAGAGGGTGGTGGTTGGTACGGCGTAGGGACAGGTGCAGGGAACTGTTATAAAGGCATCTGAGATGCAGAAATTCGGGGAGCAGGATGTTGGGGTTGTCTGGAGATGATTTGTATGAGCGAAATCAGAACTTTTACGGGAAGGAGGAGGGGATTGTTTTGGATGGGTGAAGATATATGAGGTTAGATGGTTGAACTTACTGGTGGACAGGAGGTATGAGAAGTGGAGATGGTGATAGTTGGGCAAGGTGATGAAGGAGAGATATATGTAGGAATGGTTGGAGTGAGGGTGCATGGGTTGACTGTGACCGTTTTTATAGATGGCTTGAAAGCTTTGGCCAGATGAAGGACACTATGGCAAGTTATGCTATCAGTTGACTGAATGCGAACAACGTCAAGGAAGAACCTACAAAAAGAAAAGGAAATAGATGAAATTATTCAATGAGTTTGTTTTCGCCATGGTTATCATAAATCTTTGAAATAAAGCTCTTACAAGCCAACACCTTTTCAGTTATCTCCAAAACTAAAACTCCTCCTCAACAAGAATGTTCCATCACTTTATATCTTCCCTCGCCCCTCATCGCAGCACCCCGTATACTTTAATTCAGCCCTTTTCCGCATACGAAGAAGACTGCGGGGTAAATCATAATCTAAAGCAATCTTCAGGCAAAAAGCGTGCAGCGTTACAATTGTCAGACGGTAGACTCAAACTTGTGGGGATACGAGGCAAATATGTCTTGGCTACTTGAGCGAACAGAGGGAACCCCAGCATGTACAATCTGTGTCACTTGCTGCAAGGGGTACTGACTTGCAGCATTTTTTAATGAGAGAAATCTCTAAACTTTCTGAGCCATGTGATGTCATGAGATATTGGCAGTTCGCAATACCAAAATGCGTGGATAAAAGATAACCCCATTTACAAATCTGTGGAGTGAGATGTGGTGAAGATCTTGGCTGCAGATTCGTATCCATAACGCCACATGGGAGTGTATATGAATCAGATGTTCCTCCACAAATGCCTCATAGATTACATGAACGCCGACTAAATGTTACACTTAACATATATTTGCATAAATGGGGTTCAGCAGGTATCTCATATCAAATACAAGTCGAAACTTTTCGGATTGTATTTAGAATTTAGGTTGAAATATGGATCCATAGATCAAGACTTCTTACACCTGGATGGCGGAAATCTAAAGGGATTGTGAATTCTTCATCTCTGAGCAGAAGGGCGATATATGGAAGTCTATTGACAATTACCATACTCAGCTAGCCAAAGTTCATTTCTAAAAGCCGATTCTTCTTAATACAAGTATGCTAGAGTCCTTGCATCAGTGATTTCTCGTACCCGTTTCGGATACCTTTCGCTTCGAAGCCAATCGACATTCCACACAAACACATCTCGAATTTTGGGCAAACGGGGCTCTTTCCAGGTCAACATTCTTCTAGTAAAGATTTGATTCGCTGTATGACTGAATTAATTGATCTACAGATGTTAGAAATATTGTGGAACGACGTACCATCTTATTGACATCGTCTGTAGAGAAAATATGGTAATAGGTTTCAACATGAGTCCACTAGCAACGAGTCCCTCATGAACAGATTCAACACTAATGGCATTAAAAGTAAGCAAGCAGATCACCTTCACATGAATAATCTGTCAGGTTCCTTGCCTCGTTGAAGGCCAGGCATACAACTGGGTGGTGATTGCATAGAAAGTGACACGGTAAGATTTTGGTCTTGATACTGAAGACGCAGCTAGATTCAAAACTGCGACTTGAATACCTTATAGTGAAGGCGGATGCAATGCGCACAATTTCGAAGATACTAGATCCATGATGGGTATATATCTCTCTCCCCACAGAGGTTGGTGAACATGTCTTGTGCGAGATGATCTCTGAAAAATTTAGAAGAACTAGGGAAGAAGTTATGAAATTGGTATCAGGTCTGATTGTCGAACGCTGGATTCAAAAGTTCGGAAAATGGTGATGAACAAGTATTCGAAGATCAGTATGACAAGTAGATCAGCACAAGCAATATTTATAGAATAGACGTGGATATAGATAGTAGTCTTCCTTTTTGATCGTCAAATGGTTTAGATATTGTTAATTACAAAGTTCAAATTAAAAGCCAAGTCTCGAGCCAGTAATAACTACATGTGATAAGGCGATAAGGCTAGAGGAAGCTCAGACCATCTCGGCATTGGAATTAGATTAGGACGACACTGGACGACTCACACGTGGGATCTGGGTGCGTACGGAGTGGGAGTCGAGGGAGTATGGCTCGGGACATATTTCACGTGCTGCCCAAGGGCAAATCATAACTATGAAATGCGGCCCGGAATAGAGGGTAAATAGACAATAATACCTAGGTAGAAGGTAGGTAGATGAATAGGAATTGATCGCATGCCTTTCTTGGATTGTGGACAAGGTATATATGCCAATTTCAATATTTCAATCGTGTATGACTGACCTCGCAAGGGAATAGGAGTCTTGAATATCGAATATAAATTTGAGATTTCGTTTGATACTTATTATATGGTAAGTACTGTACCGATGCTTGTACGTAAAATCCGTCTTGTACCCATGAACTCCATCGTAGTATTGGTATAATATTGCATCTCATCACGGCTATTTTGTGACTGGGGGGTTATCAACTTGTGAAGGGGCTACTAGATCAAGAAATTGGACTTATTTCAATATCTGAGATACTTCCAAATTTCATCAATGAAGACGCTCCGCTGGCCCTCCGGGGGCCACTGCCGTGGAGGCAGACTATTTCAATGGAAACAATATAGCAGATTTCATGAATACATTCATAAAGGTTTGCCGAATCAATCAATCAGTCTGTCGATCCAACAAATTGTTTGAGGCAATCTCGGCAACTGCAATGTCTAGAGAAAAATCATTGATTGATAGACCAGTCAGTGATTGATGTTTCTGAATGACTGATGATTGTTGGTTTATACCTTCCCCCTCACGTGCCCCTTTACCCTTGTAGTATGTATTCCATGTCCATGTGATTTCCAACTGGATGTATAAGAAAAGGATCAAAGTGAATAAACAATTGAAGGGAAATTACCCAGAGAATGCTCCTTCTCATTGCATAATTCAGATCAATGAATATTATTTGTGGGAGATCCACATCAAACATTACATTATACTGGATTGGCAGAGAGTGCATTAGTCAGATTTCTAGCAAACCGTTGTCTAGACAAGACAAGCTAACGAGTTTTTTGGGAAAGGGATAAAGTTTCTATTTGATTCTTGTGAGAAAAAGATAATCTTGATTCTGTCTATCATCTAAAGATACCTCTCCTAGGTACTCTCTTCTTATTACATACCTTCTCACCTCCCATATCGTGTGTGTTCGATATTTTCAGACTTCCCATGCCATACCAAACCCAACAGTTCATCTGTAGATCAACATCCCACCCTCACTAATAATTGATGATGAAATCACTGGTAGGCGCTTAAGGAGGGGTCTTAGGATTTCTTTTTATCTTCCCCTCTTTGTAGGCCAAAGCCCTCTCTGATAAGGATCATAAAGTGTGCGGAGACCAACACAATCCCAGTCTGCTTTGCGTATATCTGGAATCTCTGGAATCTCTCCTTCCCCTCCTGTGTAACTGTAACATAATACTGCCTTGAGATTCTGCAGCATCCCCAGACATAACATAATATAACGTACTGTTTGTTCTGTTCTCTTCTGTGCCTTACCTACTAGGTAGTACTCACATTCTCCCTCTCCCCTGGCCCCCAACAATACTTGAACAATTTCTATATGATTGTGAAAATCAAGAAAACAAAAGAGTTCAAAGAACATTAAAGCTTCTTCTAAAGTAACGTGTCAAGCAAGAGAGAGAACCTTAAAACAACATCGACATCAACAAATGAATTGAATGAATTATTAAAGCCTTCGAACTGGAATGATCCAGCAATTGGTAGATGGTAGACCAAAAGCCATTCACTCATTCACACACTTGCACTTGATCCTTCCTTACTAGGAACTTTTTTTCATTCGCTTGCTTTTTTCAGCTAGGCGAGTTTGGGGGAACCACAAAATATATTGACACGACGAAACTTCCTCGAATTCTTGAAGTGCTCAAGTTTTTGCGGTTCTCCGAATCCAAGACAACAACCCCAAATTATTTTATTGAGTTATTTTCAATAGATAAGCAAAGATGGATGTTGCCGTCTTGCGAGGTCGTATTGCTTCGACTCTTGATCCAGATGCTGATACTCGTCGGCGCGCTGAACTGGACTTGAAATCAGTAAGCATTCCTACCAAATTTTATTTCCCTTCTACCTCTAACAAAGTATTTAACAGGCTGAGGAACATCCTGGATTCACCGATGCTCTTCTTGATATATTACAAGCAGAACAAAATCCTGCAGTTCGGTTATCAAGTATGCAAACTCCTTCGCAATACATACCCCGCTGCTGGCAGATACTAACGCTACATTGCAGCGGTTGTCTACCTTAAGAATCGCGTTACGAGAGCATGGCTACCGAGCGAAACCCAGCCCAAGCCGATGGCCGACGATGAGAAGGCTAGATTCCGAGACCGACTCCTACCTTTCATTGCTTCCTCCCCACCACAAATTCGACAACAACTTGTACCAGTCCTTCAAAAGATTTTACATTATGATTTCCCAGATAGATGGCCTTCCTTCATAGAAATGACTGTTCAATTATTGAACACAAACGATGCAGCATCAATATTCGCAGGTTTACAGTGTCTCCTCGCAATCTGCCGGGTTTTCCGTTTCAAATCGGGGGAGAATCGCGCAGATTTCGACGCAATCGTGGAAGCCACATTCCCAAGGCTTTTGACAATCGGACAGGGTTTGGTCAACGAGATGAGCGAAGAGGCGGGAGAAATGCTTCATATTGTTCTCAAGGCATACAAACATGCAACATTTGTATGTACCTATGCTTATTTTTGGAATCTTCATAAAAGTGCTGACAATGATAGTTTGACTTGTCTGCCTCATTGCGCGAACATACAGTAGTAGTTGGCTGGTGCACTTTGTTCCTTCAAACAGTCGCAAAAGATGTTCCAGCTACCGCTTTACCTGAGGATGAAGCTGAGAGAGAGGCCAACCATTGGTGGAAGGCCAAGAAATGGTCATACTTCAATTTGAACAGACTCTATGTTCGGTGAGTAATTTGCGTGTAGCTGAATACCAATTCACTAACATTTCTTTAGATATGGCAACCCCACATCTTTGTCGAAAGGCAACGGAGACGATTATGCCGCATTCGCAAAAAGTTTCACAGCCAATTTCGCACCCGAGATTCTCAAAGGTTACCTCCAGCAGATTGAAAAATGGGTCGCAAAGACAACATGGCTCAGCAGGCCTTGTCTTTCCTATACCTTGGTTTTCCTTGATGAGTGTGTTCGACCAAAGCAAATGTGGGCTCATTTGAAACCACATCTCGACAGCCTTGTCACTCATTTCCTTTTCCCTGTTATGTGTCTATCGCCCGACGATGTTGAGAAATTCGAAACCGACCCAGAGGAATATTTACACCACAAATTGAACTTTTACGAAGAGGTCTCAGCACCAGACAATGCCGCAACTAACTTCTTGATCACACTCACCAAAGTTCGCAGAAAGCACACTTTCACCATTCTTACATTTGTCAACTCGATTGTAAACGAATACGAGGCTGCGGGAGAGGGACAGAAGAACCACATTGCAAAGGAGGGAGCTTTGAGAATGATTGGAACTTTGTCCAGTGTCATCCTAGGAAAGAAGAGCCCAATTGCTGAACAAGTGGAGTATTTCTTGGTTCGATATGTTTTCCCCGATTTCAAGAGCTCCCAAGGATTCCTACGAGCCAGAGCTTGCGACACTGTTGAGAAGTTCGAACAACTCGATTTCAAGGATACTCAGAATCTTCTTATCATATACCGAAATATCCTCGAGTGTATGGCCGATCCAGACCTTCCAGTTCGTGTTGAAGCAGCACTCGCGTTGCAGCCTTTGATTAGACACGATATCATTCGCACAAGCATGCAATCAAACATCCCACAAATTATGCAACAGTTATTGAAACTTGCCAACGAGGTTGATGTGGATGCATTGTCAAATGTCATGGAGGATTTTGTTGAAGTATTTGCAGCAGAATTGACTCCTTTCGCCGTAGCATTAAGCGAACAGTTGCGCGATACTTATTTGCGAATTGTTAGAGAATTATTGGAGAAAAACGAAAAGAGGGAAGATGATGAGTATGGCGACTATTTGGATGATAAGAGTATTACCGCACTCGGAGTTTTGCAAACGATTGGCACTTTGATTTTGACCTTAGAGAGTACTCCTGATGTTCTTTTGCATATGGAATCAATTCTGATGCCAGTCATCAAGGTCACGTTGGAGAACAAACTTTATGGTTCGAATCCCCTTTTCCTTTGTCTATTTGAGACTTGCTTATACTAATAGTCGCAGATCTTTACAATGAAGTTTTCGAGATCATTGACAGCTGTACATTTGCTGCCAAATCTATTTCTCCAACCATGTGGCAAGCATTTGAGCTCATCCACTCGACCTTCAAGGCTGGTGCCGAACTTTATCTCGAAGATATGCTTCCAGCTTTGGACAACTTTGTACAATATGGCAGTGCCCATCTCGTACAATCACCACAATACCTGGATGCCTTCTTTGGCATGGTTGCAGATATGTTTGCCGATGATAAGGTTGGAGGTGTTGACAAGATTTGTGCATGCAAGTTGGCCGAAGGCATGATGCTTAGTCTAAGAGGTCACATTGATCAATACGTTTTACAATTCGTCGATATGGCTATGAGAACTCTAACAAACACTGACGTCAAGGTCAAGTCATACAAAATTCATCTCATGGAGATGGTCATCAACGCAATCTATTACAACCCAGCTTTGACTTTACATATCCTAGAGCAAAAGCAATGGACCAATAAGTTCTTCAGCTTGTGGTTCGCAAGCATCGATAGTTTTACCAGAGTTCACGACAAGAAACTTTCAATCGCCGCCATTGTTGCATTACTCACCCTCAATGCCGATCAGGTTCCAGTCAGTGTTCAACAAGGCTGGCCTAGATTGTTGCAGGGCATTGTCAGATTATTCCAAACTCTTCCCACGGCCACAATGAACCGCGAGGAAGCTTTGAAAGATGACTTCCCAGGAGATGGTGAGGGATATGATGATGATGAGGATGACGAGTGGGCTGGTGATGATAATGCCTGGGGAGAGGAAGGTGATGAGGGAGATGAAGAAAATGACATCAAGGATGAAAGTAGCGCTTACCTCGAGTTTTTGAGCGAAGAAGTAAGTGATAATGACTTGAACCTTGATTTATACGTGCTTATAATATTTTAGGCTTCAAAATTCAGCAATCTTGAAGATCAAGACTCGGATGATGAGCTTGGCGAAGAGAGTCTTCTTGAAACCCCTCTCGATAAGGTGGAGCCATACCAGTTATTCAAGAACGCCTTGATGAGTATGTATTCTTCTTGGAAACATGACTGAGATGATGTACTAATCTGTATACAGAACTTCAACAAGAACAACCTCAACTTTATGAATCACTTACCACAAATCTCAACCCATCTGAGCAAGAAATAGTTCAAGGTGTTATACATCAAGCAGATGTCAACGCAGCTGCGGCAATTGCATCGGCTCAAATAGAGGCACAACTTGCTGCAGGTGTAGTCAATGGAGGAGCTTGAAGATGAAAAAGAGGATTAGATTCGTCGTGATGTCATGTCGAATAATTGGAGTGGATTAAATGGTTGCTCAAGCGCACGTTGCATTTGGTTGGCGTTTTTTTTTTTTGATGAGAGATATGAATTGAAGTTCCAGATTTGGATTTCATGATATCCTTACAAGTATGAAATGATTATGGATGCTGCATACCCTGGGATTTGAAGAATCATTCGGGATTGCGAGGAATGGAAGTTGATTGGGGATGTGGGATAGGAATTTCATCTGATTAGGTATGATGACGATGATGATGATGATGACGATGATGATGGTAAGATGAATCTTATCGATTGGATGCACATCAGATCGAGTTTGTATGAGATTGAGAACGGATCGGGCAGGGCAGTGGAGATATAGTATAGTAGATTACTTTACAGCTTGAAGGACGACTTTGATCGTTAGACGTTACGTTGCAATACCATATTCCAGAATAAAAATTTGCTATTAAATAATAAGTGTTGGAATGTTTTGTGTGGTTATTTGTATGGTGATCTGTAGGTAGGTAGGTAGGTAGGTAGGTAGGTAGGTAGGTAGGTAGGTAGGTAGGTGGTTTGTGGATTTATAGAGAGGAGGTATGATAGTGAATATATCGATGTGAAATTTGAAATTTGAAATTGATATCTGATATCTGATATTGCACTCTATTTCTCTATTTCTCTATTTCTCTATTTCTCTATTTCTCTATTTCTCTATTTCTCTATTTCTCTATTTCTCTATTTCTCTATTTCTCTATTTCTCTATTTCTCTATTTCTCTATTTCTCTATTTCCCTTCCCTTCCCTTCTCTTTTTTCCAAAAACGCCCTCCCCTTTTTTGACTCACTATCATTATCAATATATTAATATCTCAACCTCTCTCTCTCTCTCTCTCTCTTTCTCAATTTGAATTCAATTTCAAACCCAATCTCTCTCTCAAACTCAAACTCAATATCTACCTCTACCTTCATCACAACTTCAACCACAATCCCCACTCACCTGATCAAAGAAACGATCTAATACTTCAAAATCCCCAGATACTTACAATGCATACCTTAGTCACCAATCACCAGTCACATCACATCAAACAAAGTTTCCACTTGTATTTCTTTACCATTTGTATTCCGTTTTTACCTTGTACCTTATTTATCTTATCTTATAATCAAGTCCTCACCCAAACTTCCCAAATCATGCACTTGTCTCTTCCCATCCCCTAGACTATTTCACCAACTAAACCCCTTATCCTCGGCCCTATTCAGTCTAGCCTAGCATCTCAATGCCCATATCATTATCTGCACGCGCCATATCTTCAATTTTCAATTATCACCATGAGAGCCAAGAGCTAGTAGCCAGGAACCAGAAGACAGGTCTGAACAATTTAGTCAGGTAGCCCAGTCAGCATCACGTATCCACCAACCAATTCCACCCCCAACTAATCGACTCCATTCTCTCAAATCCCTCTCACGTTCTGATCCACTCAGCTATGTAGGTAATCACAAATTAGCCGGGTAGTGTACTTATTCCCCAACTCCGAAGCCCATCGCATTTGCATAGTTCACCTAGCATTTTTGATTAACACAAAAAGGCAGTGCAAATCAAAAACCCACAAGGGAAACGAAAAAAAAGAGAAGCAAGAGCTAGAAGTAAGAAAGGCAGAGAAAGAATGAAAAGTAAAATGAGATAAAAAAAAAAAAGAGTAAAGAAAGAAAAAAGTTCCCAATCGTAACACATTGACTTTATTACATAAACTCCAAACCAAAACCTTTGAACCCCATAATGGCACTCCAGTGATTTCATATATCTTTGGAGAAAAACGATTCCCATCCCCACACCTTTGATATATTCCCAATTCCCAATTCCTATCAACGAAGGTGTGCTGTTGTATATTGGTATTTTCACCATGACATCCGCAAGAACCTTATTCATCCTTATAATAAGATTAGGTAATTCGAAGGCGCTATTCCGGTGTCTCCGTTTTCTTTCTTGGCTTGCCACCATCGTCCACTTACGTCTGAGACTTCTAATATTTCGTGTTTAGCGAAACTAATCTCGTTTGCATCATCTGGGTTGGCATCGTAAGAATAAATGGCCTTCGCTCGGTATGGGTATTCTGTAGGTTGGATGACTTCTCCTGGTGTAGGTTCTGAACCCATTCCACCATTTGGTCCAAGATTGCTGGCTCCAAATCTTGGTTGTGATGAGTTGCGCTCGGCTCCTGCGGCACCTCCTGGGAATCCTGCTACTGGTGAAGATGTTTCGAAACCACCTAGTTGCGCCGAGGTATACATTTGTGGTGGAACGTTTGAAGAGATTGAAGTATCCGGTCGACCAATTCCATATCCATTTCCATAAGCAGTCGACATTCCTCTTCCTGATGATACTCTATGATCTTTGTGAAGGGCGAACGAGTCAAGGTATGCTCGAGGTACCGCTGAAGGTGTTGATCCAAAGTAGAACATCCAAATAATCTAGATGCAACATTAGTAAGGGATCTAGACCTTTCCGACCAAACAATCTTACCGCAACCATAGAGAGAAGGATATGTCCAGCCGCGGCGGCTTCTTTTGCTCCATTTGAAGAATAAATTAACGAATTAACAGATGAACTTGTTAACACGAGACCGGTAGCCAAGAATCCAACGATAGCAACATGATAGGTCTGAGTTGTATCCGATGCTATCACGACAAATATACCTAGAATGCAACACAGCATATATGCAATCGTAAACCATGAATAATTTGGAAATCCGTCATTAGATGCGTGTGATGCAGTCGCTAATATCGATCCAATGAAAGCAATAAACCATGCAAGCTATCAATCGTTCATGTCAGTAAGCATTGCATGGAGAGAGTGAGGCGCAGTAGATATCCACGACTTCCAAATAACATACCATAGCAATCGAGATGGTAGCCAGCGCGAATGGATCTCCTAGAATATTATCCATACTCATTCCACGCATTCCAGCTGTCCTCCGACCTTTGTAATCTGATTGATTCATTTTTGCGTGGTGAAGACGAAGTTAACGTATTGTTGGGTATCAGTAAGATCTACAAGATCGAGAGAGGGATGTTGTTGTTGTGATTGTTGAAAGTAATTATTATTGTCGACTCAGGTTATTATCGTCGCAAGTAAGAGCATTCGATTCAATCGAACGAATTGTAAGTCGAGGATGAAGAAAATAGAGGAAGTAAGTAAATCAAATATTGAAGAGGTTCGTAGAATAGGTCGGTCGGTGGTCGAAGTGATGTTTCAGCTGCAGTGACTGAATTAAGGAATCTCCTTCAATAGATTGAAGCAAGCAAATGGGAAAAATCCAGATGAATCAATTCAACGCAACGCTCGTTATTGGGGGTATCGTAATTTTGAAAGCTAACCACAGCCCAGCAGTAGCAGCGATCTTGAATTTATTTCTGAAGATAAAAATCAATATCACGAGGATCGAGTGATAAAGTTGAAAGAGTGTGGTTGTGGTGTTAAATCAGATCGAAGGTAATGTGTGTGTGGTGGAGGGTTGTTGCGTGCGTGGTTTAGAAAAAAGGGGATCGATGGGTGTGATGATACATACGCGCAATGGCACGAGAATGGAGGGAAAAAAGGTTAATAAAAAGGTTTAAAAAGGTTTGACAAGGTATATGTGTATATATGTACCCTATATGTACTAGGATGGGTGAAGAGTGAACAATGTGTATGTATGTATGGTGTATGTATGTAATAAGTGTACGGTACGGGGTATGCAAGTTCCCAGATGTGATAGCTGATGGATGGATGAAATGAATAGAAAGGGCAATAATGAGTGGATGTGGCTCTCAGGAAGGTTACAGAAAAGCGACCCGATCGAAGGAGGATTTGGGGTAAAGAGTGAATTGAATGAATGGATGAGTGGATGAATGGATGAGTGAATGGTGAGACGGATCCAATCCTTTTTTGGAGAGAGAGAGAGAGAGAGAGAGAGAGAGAGTGTGTGTGTGTGTATGTGTGTGTGAGAGAGAGAAGAATGGTATGAACGATGGATGGGATGTATGTATGGTATGGTATCGTATGGTATGGGGTAGGGCAGTGTGAAGCGTGTTTAGGCTGAATGAGAGTTGGGAAGGGAAATAAAATAAATGTATAAGATTGATTGGATGTGATAATTCAATGGTAATGGTAACGGTAACAGTAACGGTAACGGTAACGGTAATGGGATGGAATTTCTACATAGTATATGAAAATCAACCGAGGACGGAGGACGGAGGACGGATAACGGAAAGCAAAGCAAAGCAAAGCAAAAGAAGGCAAAGAATCTAGAGTGTCTGGGTCTACCGATAGCTACCTAGCCAGAGGACTAGGTGAGTTGGTAATCAGAAAAAGATACGAATCCATTAACGTTAGTGAAATTATTAACCTTTGGCACTATCCTATCTACCTGCTGCATACGAATATTAAATGATATCCATGGATGATTATTTCTTTGCAAGGCTCGAGCAAGAAGCAAGGGAACAGATGCTTCTAGCTAGTCATCTAGTTTCTTCTCTATGCTGCATTCATGATGATATTCATTACTTGCATCTAGTATATCTAGTATATCTAGTATATCTAATATATCCCATCTTTTCGGTCCACTAGATACCTCTCCTGCGTCTCTTGTTCCTCGATCATTTTAAACCTTTACCTATATCTATCTATACCAACACCTCTCCCTCTACCTCTACCTATCTAATATCTACCATTTACCATCCAATCTCCAACATAACACAACATTTCATCATTATCCTCTCCTCTGCTCCATCCATCGTATCACATTCCAATAAGATTTGACCCTCTAGCACGACGCACGCTTTAGGGAAATTCTTTGCTTTAGTTTAGTTTAGTGTGTCTAGTCTAGTCTAGGTCAAGACTTTTTCCTCCTTGGGCGTGTGCTGACTTGTTTCTAGATTTGCAGGTCCAAGTTGTTTCAATCCCATGCTTGCCATGCTTGCCATGCTTGCCATGCTCGCCATGCTCGCGTGTGGTTGGTTCCGAGCTTCCTTAGTGTGAGATGTGTTTTTATTAGTCAGGTACAGGATGTGGTGGCGTGGAAATTCATTTGGTCCGTTCGTGATATCTACCTGCATAGGTATGTATCTGTCTGTCTATCTAGTATATCTACATATCTACATACCTCTATATATACATATATATACATCTCCTCAAGCCTTCCATAGAACAATAGAACAATAGAACACACAAACATCAAATCCCTCTCCATGTCAATCTCAATAATATCACAAATCGAATAACTCAAATACAATCAACATCACCAGTAATCAATCATCAATCATCCTCCCTCCATACCCTTCATACCCTCCACACAAACTCCCTCAAATTAATGAACAATTCAGTACCTACCTACTACCACCACCATTACTACTACTACTACTACCTACTAAACTAATAACCCACTAACCCACTACCTAGCCAAATAAATACAATTTATACTTTTCTCCTTCTCCTTCTCCTTCTCCTTCCCTTCCCCTCCCAGACACCTCCAAAGATCCCAGGGTCTCCGATCCATTTTTTAATCTTTTGTTTTTCATCACCAGTAAAAAAATAAAAAAAAAAGATAAAATCTAGACTTTAGGATCATCCATCCACACACGTTTCACATTTCAGGGGTCAGTCAAGTCCCAAACCCTCACTTGATTCTTTTATTATTATTTACCTAGTATCTTTCGCTACGAAATTCATTTGGGAATACCTATGATTACAAGGTTAGTAACTGTACTCACTCCACTCGACTTCTGCTTGGTAGGTATTCTAACTTTTACGAGTACTTCGTATGTGCTGTGTAATAAATCCATCAATCAATCAGTATGTATATATATTATATATATATAAGTAGGTAAATATATAAATACAATATAACCACACCTAAACATCTCTCTCTCTCTCTCTCTCTCTCTCCCCCCATTTTCCCCCTCCTACCAACTCCCAATAACCTACTCACTCACTCCCTAGAATCTAGAATTTCAATTCCACATCACATCACATCACACTATACAAATACAATAACAATAACAACGAACCACTCGCCCTCACCTCAGCACTGCCTTCTCGGTTCTCTGACATCCGCACCGCACCGCTGCACAACACGGACCTCCAGCTCGTGTGCTCGTGTTCGTGCTGTTTCTGGCAGCGGTGATGTGCAGTGATGTGCAGTGCTGTGCAGTGCTGTGCTGTGCTGTGCAGTGCTGTGCTGTGCTGTGTTAATAATAGGTTTTTAGTTTAGTTTGCTCGACTCTATTTTACGTATCTACATACATACTGATCGGGTAGATAGGTAGATAGATACAAACCATATAATATCCAATCTTCACTCTTCAAGAAACAAAACAATGCTTCCTTTCACGTCAATAATCAATTACCATTTAGTATTCCGCAGGTATCTACATACCCAACGACCAGTACTCATACCATCATACCCATTCTATCATATCCTATCATATCATACTTCACACCACTGAGCAGCCATCCATTTATTAGTTCTGATATCCGTTTATTTCTCAAGTATGTATGTATCTAAATATCTAGCTATCTATCTACTACCAGCGCGTTGAATAGCACATGCGTTTATATACCTATCCATATACCTATCCATAAATACAAATATAAAATATAACATGCTCATCAAACACCAACCAACCAACCAATCCACCTCATAATAAATAATACAATACAATAAACCCAAACCACACACCATCACACCAATACAACCCAGGCAATTCCCACGAAGCGCAAAGAAACCTTCCATCCAAGTTTCAAGATCTTCCCTCCCCTCCTTCTACATCACGATTCACTACTCACGATCCACCAAGCAAAATAAAACAAAAATATGACGATATCCACGTCCCACCATCCATCGAAACGAGCATTTGCTTACTACCTTACCTTAACTACTTTTGAGTTTTAAGTCTTGAGTCTTAACCGTTCAGAAAACAAGGATCAGATACGTAGGTAGGTACGCAAAGATACCACGGAGGATTTGATTTCTCAAGACTATCCATACTATCTTCCTTCTTCTCCTCGCATTTATACAGTATCCCCACCTAGCCTAGCCTAGACAGTATGTTCAATGTTGATCGAAAAGCTGGAGCGAGCTCGAGTTTCTACTCTGCTCTGCTTGTACTTCACTTCGTAAGTTGTCACCCACGCACCCACCGAGCCACCTACCAAGCCACCTGTAAATAAAAGCCCTGGAGACGATACGATTGATCGATGGGAGAAAGTCGAAGAAAAGAAAGATCTTCTGCTATGCTACAGTACCAGTGAGCGCCTTTTCTCCACATTTATTACAATGGCTCGTGCTGTGCTGTGCTGTGCTCTGTTCTGTACTTGGCCTCATTATCCTCATCACGTATTCATTTTCTTGTTCAGACCCGTCGGCGCCGTACAATGTCATGTCTGATGATATTATGACTCGTGATACTCTCACATCACAGATCTGAATGGTAAAGTGTTCTCTACATATTGCTACACGTTAAAAATGTACTCAACTACACGTGTGGATGGACGGTTCCTAACTACGCGGGTCATTCGCTCCTAAGCTCATGCTGCCTCTGCCTTATCATCCATTTCCACCGGATAACGGCTGTTCATCCCTTCCCAAGCGGCAACGGTAATATAACAATTACTATAGATATATCTGACTGATACATATGATAGCTGCTATGTCATAGCTCAGACCGTTAATATCTTTGTAGCCAATTCCTGAAACGCGGATCATACAACTTCCGTACTCTTCCATTTCTCAGCTGTAGTATCATCGCCTTGTCCAAGATATTAGGACGTATCTCTCCGCAATTACTCAAACACTGCTAGAACAGACTTATCATCACATCGAGATGTCGATGGTGCTCTGACCCAGAGACGTTTCTTTTCCATCTCACTTCACTAACTTCACTATGACGTGTATTTCTTTGGTGTGTTTCCACTGGAATGTCAAGCTTCTGAAAACGTGTTGACTTTGAGAAATGTGAATCT